ATACACAATATCTATACGTAGTAAAAGCTCGTTTGCGTAAAGTATACATAGAAAAGCTCAAAAATTGCATTTATTTTGTCAAAAAAAGATGATAGCATTATATAAAAAAAGGAGAGATGAGTTTTACATTATATTATATACAGTATTACAGTATTATTTATAATAGTATATAAAATAACCGGTGCTTTAAGTCATTGGTGTCATTGATAAAGTGCATACTCGTGTTAAATGAGTTACACTTCATTAAAATACATACTGATATAATATTAGAAATAATATTTATTATAATATAATATACAGTATAACACAATATATATGAAATTCATATAATTTTTGTTTGTGCATAAAATTTTATTTTAAAATCATATTTGATGGCAACACTTAAATTCACACAAAACACATACACTTTTTTTTATTGAAGTGCAATAAAACAAATTTTTCTTTTATACAAAAGTGTCTGCAAATGCTATTTGTATTGTTATTATAATGTTATTATTCATGAAATTACTGGTCAGGTGTTGATAAAACTTATGGTTTTTGTACTGTCGGACCCAACTGTCTGTCCAAACGCCAACAATAGTCTGTCATGTTTTGCATCATTGGCTTTAAATATTTGCTGTTTAAAACTGTCAGTACTGTAAACGGTGTGGTGTTAAGAGCACCAACTTTTTTTGGCTAACGGTTCGCCGACTATTTGACTATACCATCAAAAATATCATGTCTTAGGTCTTGCAGCTGTCATTTAAAGTAAATGACTTTTAATATATTGTTATACTTTATGCATATATATCTAAAGTTCATATATCTATTACTTTCACAATGTTTTCAGTCTATTTTAAAATCATTTACACACTTGTCGTAGAAAAGCTGAGAGAGAGAGAGAGAGAGAGAGAGAGAATTGAAATAAATTTTAGTCCAAAAATACATTTATATACATTACACTGTATTATATCATTACAAACTACCAGTGCTCTATAAGGGACTATAGTCTATATATTTTTGTGCAAATATCTTATTATTCATCCCTAAGTTGTCTGCAAAAAAACATTGAATATCTCATTCTGTAGTTTATTTCATGCGGAAAACCAATTACTCAACGAATTTTTTTTCCTCAATTCATATATATATTTTCCAATCAAATTTGATTTGTTTTTTGAATATAAAAACTTATATATATGTAAGTTATATATATATATGTATATATATAATATTCAAACAAACAAGTATTATATCTGTTACTAATAAATCATTTTACTTGAGACGGGTCGTTAGGTCAACGCCTTTACTTTGAACTTAATATTTAAAAAATAAATCAAATTTGTTTTATTTTAATTCATGATTTGAAGATTAAAAGTGTTAAAATATGTGTTATTGTAATTTCCAATTATACCATATTTGGTAATTATAAAATTATTTAGAAAACTAATATTTTTAAAAAAAAATTAATATCGTGGAAATATTTTTTGTTTGTTTGTAAATATCTTCAATATTGTAATTAATTTTATACTGTATTTTGTTTTGAAAGATAACGAGTTTACAGTTAAAGAGAAAATATCTAATTTATTATTTATAAAGAACTTTGAAATTTAAACAAAATTTAATTGTTTATTAAGAGTATACTTGAATATAGAAAACAATAATAAATTTGAAGAGCAATTATCAAACGGTTATTTTTAATAAAAATTTAATATTTTATATTAAAATTGTTTTTCAACTTTGATTGATTATGTAAAATACGATTATATTTATATATGATTCATATGAATCTCCAGAGCAGACATTTTGTGATAACTTAGGCCAACATCTAAATAGTGAAAGTTTAGTACTTTTATACGATAGTCTACTTAATGTAAATTTTGTATAATAAAAGTGCAAAAATTGTTTGCGATTTATGACACAACTGACTCTTACTTCATATTAAAACCATCTCTAGCTTAAGGCACTGGGATTTTGAAATTCCTCTCCAACTAAACAAATCCAACAAAAAAATAAGACTTTCTATACTTATGGATAAATTATGAGTTACATAAAGTCTTAAGTCATATATTATTTGAAAAAAACTACAACAGCAACAAAAAAAGTAAAATATAAAAGACAGTCTCATTGTATCTAATTTGTTGTCTGATTTTTAAAAAAAATTATTGACCAATAAATTTTTGAGTATCAAATAATATATAGTTAGTATAAATTTTGTTGTTAACAAAAAATTTCTGACCATTAAATTTGTTATTCATGTAAAGTATTGTGTTATTATTTGAATTATATTTTTATATATTATTATTATTATTACTGAGAATTTTAAATCAATAATTTGGATATTATTATAAATTATAATTAAATGCAAATAGTATTTGCATTACGGCATTAAAGCAAACAATTTTTATTTAAAATTTTTAAATTACTTATTTAATTTATTATTTGTTAGTTTATTTTAATATTAAAAAGTTATTTTAAGTTATTTTTATCCATTTATTATGAAAAATTTAAATATTTATATTTATACTTTTAAAAATTAATTTGCTATTAGTCATAAAATTAGAGATTATTTTAAAATATTTTCCATAATATGATAACAAATTTATTCATTCAATAATAAATAATAATTATTTTTGAACATTATATAGCAGATCCTATTTTGAGGGCTAAAATATAATGATTAGTTAAATAAAGAGTTAATACAATCCTATCATTTTATCGCATCATTTGTTGCCCCAAAAGATTTATACATTCAGAGTATTATAATACAGTATATAACTATAATTTGTGCACTCATTGTGTACTAACTGACTGACTGACTGGCAATCAATTGCAATGGAAATCATTATTTGAGTTATTTATTCGTTATATATAATCAATAGTGAAAAAAGAGATTTCAACTTAATTTATATCTTTTTTTAATAAAAAAAAATAAAAGTCAAAATAATAATATAATAATAGTAATCGTAGATGTAATAAAATTAATAATAAAAATAATAATAACACAAAATTAGTTTGGATCAATAAAGGTCATACGTAATCAAGAAAATTTTTAAATCTTTTTTTATATATAGTATTGTTATGAATAAAACTTTGTTTACATTTAACTGTTGTATTTGCATTAGATTTACATGTTTTCAAAAAAGATTATTATGTTTAAAGAATTTTTGAAAAAACATTATTTGCATTTTAACAAATTGTATGATATAATAGCATATCTATGTATTTATTTATTTAAATAATTAATAAATTTTAAAATTTCTATATTATAAATCTATAGAGTGTGTAAGCATTAAACCTTGTATTTTTGTTATGTGTATAAAAATGCCATAAAATTTATAAATTATTCATCATTATTTTAACACATTATTTGGTGAGTTATTACTTAAAAAGTATATTAATATACAGTACTGTACTACTAGTTATATGTGTTTAATAAATTAGTAATTATTATTTAAATCAATAAATCACTATTATTATACAATTATTATATATCTATAATCTTATATTCCCGGCTAATCTTCTAGTTTAATACCTAAATCCGATATTAACTATAATATATATATATATATATAATAGAAATAAAGAAATCTTATTTACAAAAAAAATAAATACAAAAAATGTAGAGAAAGAAATAGAGGCTTCAATAGTCTCATTATATTTTAACTATTATGTGCTAAGTTATACTAAACAACAATATAATAATATCAATAATAATACAGTATATACTGTATAAAATGTACAATACTATTATATATATTTATTTATATATATATATAATGATTTTCATAACTATTATTCTCACAGGAAAGTTATGAAACCTATTTTTATTGTATTATTTGTATTATTTTTTATATAAATACATTGCATATTATAAAAATATAATATATAATTTGATTTATCTCTAATGTTATTCTTGTAGTCATTATTTATAATTTTAATAATATATATATATATATATATTGTGTATATGAGTTGTTTAAATGTAAGGCAAAAATAATTTAATAAAAATTATAATTTATTAACATCATCTCTAAATGATTAACTTTATAGAGTATTTCGTGGATATTTTATTATTTATTATAATCATAATTATAAGAATCCATTAATGAATAGGTGAATAAATAAATAATTTACAACAATATATATATTTTTTATATAAAGGCTAATGTCTTTAAAACAAAAATAATATATATATATATATATATATACGGTATATATTCTTTAGTCAATTTGGTTAATCAAATAATTTGATATACCCACACACACACACATACACTGTATTTACTAATTGTTATTTATTAGCTTAAACATAAAATACGATGTATTTACACTAATAAAAGATTCATTAATAATATCAATTTAATATTTGGATAAAAATACATTACTATTTGATTTGATAAACAATAAATTATTTACATTTTTATGGCATAAGTTGTTAAAGTTTATCACTATTTGATGTTTCATTTGAAGCCATTATACGGTCACTTATATACAATATATACATCATATTTACACAATATATCAAATAGTTAGATGAAATAAATAACTATGAAATTTATGATTTCTATTATATTATATATTCTAAAATATTTTTAAATTTTGAATAATATATTGATATTTTTGTTGTTGTTATTGTTGAATATATTGCTGATGCAGTCAATGGTAATGTTATTGATTTAATGTCATAATATAATATTGTATTATAATATTATAAATCCCTGTTCTCTCTTAGTATACGAATAAGACAGGAATCCCTGGGTTTAATAGGGATACCGAATCACAAGACTATCTTACCATTTATTACTATAATAATAATAATAATAATATTTAACAAAATTTATTTATGTAAGAGACAGACAATCAATAAATTATTCAATAAAATATAGAGAGAAGAAAGTGATTGTTTTACAAAACTGATTGAAACAAACTCAGTCTTATAGCATATCATTCATCAAAAGATGATTTTCTTTACATTGTTTTATAATAAATGTATTATTTTTTATTATTTTTCTAACAAACAGAGGGTATCAACAAATATCCGCCTGTGTTTCGACAGGACAGCTATACTGTGACCGTCAATGAGGGCCGGATTGTTAACCCCATTGTTCAGGTGGAGGCGTATGACCATGATCATTCATCCAAATATGGGGGTATTTGCAAATATGAAATCATTGGTGGCGACAAACGGGAGGCGCCCTTTGTTATTGACGCCAACGGCAACATTAAGAACACTCGTCCCCTTTCATACAAAGAGTCACACAATCACATCCTCGAAGTGGTTGCCTATGACTGCGGGATGAAGAGGTCTAAACCAACTCTTGTCAATATAAAAGTCAATAAAGTCTGTCAACTCGGATGGAAAGGTATGACATCTCTTTTTATACATTTTATTATTTATTTATATTATTTAATAAATGTCTTTAAGGCGTAGGTGTGTGTGTGTGTGTGTGTATGTATGTATGTATAGATGTGTGCGTATGTATGTATACTATACATATACATTGTATAGATGTGTGTGTATATGTATGTATGTATAGATGTGTGTATATGTACGTATGTATAGATGTGTGTATATGTATGTACAGTATGTATAGATGTGTGTATATGTATGTATGTATAGATGTGTGTATATGTACGTATGTATAGATGTGTGTATATGTATGTACAGTATGTATAGATGTGTGTATATGTATGTATGTATGTATGTATAGATGTGTGCGTATGTATGTATACTATACATATACATTGTATAGATGTGTGTGTATGTATAGATGTGTGTATATGTATGTATGTATAGATGTGTGTATATGTATGTATGTATAGATGTGTGTATATGTATGTATGTATAGATGTGTGTATATGTATGTATGTATAGATGTGTGTATATGTATGTATGTATAGATGTGTGTATATGTATATATATGTATAGATGTGTGTGTATGTATAGATGTGTGTATATGTATGTATGTATGTATGTATGTATAGATGTGTGTGTGTGTGTGTGTGTGTTTATATTTATTTGTTCATATATGTAACCAAATTAGTTTTCATCACAAACAACAAAAAATACTGAAATGTTGTGCATAAAAATTTTGAGACATGTTTTCAAGTAATAAAAGGATTGCAAATGTTTTTACATATATTTTTCGACTCATTTATTGTCTGAATAAAATTTGAGACAAAGAGATACATTGGCCTTACAATACAATACTCTCAGTACTTGATTTTTTTGTTGCTATTTTACTATACTATAGCCTATACTTATACATATAAGTGCTTCAAATGTAACTAATTGGCGCACAATTAACAAATAAAACTCCTCATACTTAACAGTTAATCTACTTTTTACTTTTTTGAGTCTTTGAATTAATCTATGATATTAATTAGTAGTCAAATTAGTAGCACAGAAAAAAAGTTTATTATAAAACTAATAATACTTATGATAATAATTATTGCTGTCTTTTTAATTTTATACAACTGTATGTATGTGTGACATGAATTAATTAATTCTAGACATTTATTTAGCTCAAAATAATTAATAATTTGTGCATTTTATAATTTTTTACACTGTTTTGACTTTTACTATTTGCGAAATAACATTTATATATATATAATATATTTTTTATTTAGTTATTAATTGTGTAAATAATTATTTTCCGATATTAGGTATTTCCGAGAGGATAGAGTACAGTCCGGGTTCGGGTTCACGGGTGCTGTTTCCCGACGCTGAGCTTCAATTATGCGATGTCCCGTGCAGTGCCGATAATGTATCGGTTAGGGTCTCATTGGCCACACATCATATTGGAAAGGGATGCGATCGCGACACCTATTCAGTGGAATCTCAGAGAAAATTATGCGGTAATGTTTGGAAATTGATTTGAAAAATTAAAAAAATTATGTCACCATTTATTATGAAATAATTTATAGCCATTTAGTACATACAGTATATTATATATGATTTTATAATGGTTAACATTATATTATGAATAATAATGTTTAAAAATCAATATATTATAACCAATGCATAGACTAATGTAATGCATAGTCTTTTTTATATAACATATATTATATAATGAAGTTGTTGTACAAATGGCTAGTAATTTCTTGATTGATATTTGAGAGCAAAATTACTTTCATTTGATATATAAAGTCTTACAATACATTAAACAGAGATATATTGATTAATCTCTGTGTTATAAATCACTGCAAATAATGGCTATCATTGGTCTTAATTCAATGCAATCAAACAAATAGCAAAACAGAAAAAATATTTAATTTTTCTTATATCATATAAAAATAGTGTTATGACTTATATGGTATGTTATTTGTTACATACATTTATTTCTTGATGTCATAACAAAAATATATTAGAAAATATATATTTAGTGATCAAATATATATATATATATATATATATCAAGCTTATACAGTATTTAATATAGTTATATAAATAAATTCTAAAAACACAGTTTACATCAAAACATTACAAACATTTACCTATGTATTCAACTCCACCTCAAACTAAAGTCTTCAAAAAAAATTAATGTAAATGTTATCTATAAAACTGATGATAGCAATGATGATAGCATCGACTAAATCAATTGTCCCACTCCTTAATGGTTGAAATACACGAAAGGCTCATATCGTATATAAAAACTTTGTTTTTTTTGTTATTTCAAACGACTCTCATATGAGTCGTCAAAACAATAGTTATCTAACCATTCATTTTAAATACATTTATTCATACGATTACATGACGTGTACTACGATATAACCAGAATATTCTTGATATTCTTGTTTGGCAACGCTTTAGTTTGAAATACATTATAATATTTAGATTCTATAAGAAAATCTTATATACATTTTGGAGATTTTTTTTGTTAATAATAATAACCAAATAGACAACAATAGCAAAAGACAGAGAATAGTTAAATGCATTTTTCTAAAAGTAATGGCCGTTAATATCAATATTATCGATAAAAAATGATAGCAAAAAAAAAGTTTATTGCCTTTGGTTAAAGAGTTGGCGTAATAATATACATAACTCATTGCAGTGAGACATAAGAGACAAAATAAATATAAGACAATCTTTTTTATATGACTTCCTATTTCCGTTTTACTGACATTTAGGTGCGAGTGCCGAAAGTGTAGATTTATTGCCGTCTCCATCGACTGGTGCTGAGTGGACAAGAGATCTGCCCACTGATGACGGCAGAGAATCGGATCAGATTTACGAGTTCGACGGCGCCACCAATGCTGTGGTCATACCGGAGGCGACACTTAATCACAATCTAACCAATAAGTTTACAGTCTCTTTCTGGATGAAACACGAGCCACCTCTGGATCAGAACAACAAACATATTAAAGAGCACATCATTTGCAATGCTGATGATCACAGTAAGTGTCGATCAATGTGTCTCTGTTTGTGTGGCATTGTGTGAACAATACATACACACAGACACACAAACAGCAGTCAACTGTCCTCTTCATACAAACAGACAACCATTCATGTGTTGAATTCAATTCCCTATTCTCTTATGTTATTAATATTTCAAAGACAACAAATAAATGACTTAAACTCTATTCTTATTCTTATTTTTTCTTTTCTTTTTTCTGATAATCAGAGAAGAATAGACACCATTACTCTGTGTTTGTTCGCAATTGTCGTCTAATATTACTTCTTCGGCGCGAATTTAATGAGGAAAAGCATACAGTCTTCAAACCGGCCGAATATCGTTGGAAACTATCGGAAGTGTGCGATAATGAATGGCATCACTACTCCATTGGTCTAAACTTTCCCGAAGCTATAGTCTATGTGGACGGACAAAAGTTTCGCAACACGTCAACCAATCCGGAGATTGTCGACGATTGGCCGCTACATGCCGTTAAAGGGGTCAACACGACTATGGTGGTGGGCGCCTGTTGGGAGGGCAAGAACTCAAAAATGAATTTCCATTTCCGCGGATATTTAGCCGGACTATCGGTATTGCGCGGACAGAATGAAAATCCCGACGTTCTGTCGTGTCTTCATCGTTGCAAAGAAGGACTTCAATTGCCCTCTACTGATACGTTAGAGCCTGGAACTGATGTTTCGACTAATACGGACTCGACATCAGTCATAATCGATGGTAAAGACGCCATCGATGTTGAAGACATGTTATCTCAGGTTTCATACATTAATTCGCGAGAATTTCCAACTGCTGGTCGACGAAGTCTTAGGATTTCAACAAACATTATGTAATACTTTAATACCTTGTAATTGCTTTTCTCTTTCAAATCAATTATTCATTTTAATCCTTTGTTTGTTTGTTTGAACATCAGGTGCTCTAATGGAAAATCACTTAAAATACCGCAAGTAGACACCTATATAATGGTTATGCCTACCGATCAGCCCAGCATTATATTGAATGGCACACCAAACCTGGCCCGAGAGTATGAAGCCTTCATGCAAGGCATTGAGCCATTCTCGACAGTCTCCATACTCATCAATCAGGAAGCAGACAATGATGAAGATGACGACGATAATGACGATGAAGAAGCAAAACTGGACTCAACTGACGATGACTCGACCGCCGGCAACACCAATATCGACAAACTAATGTCCGAACACAAGTTGGACACCTGTAATGTTCAGGTGTATCCACCACTGAATCCCGATCACGAGTACTTCCGATTGCCCAACAATTTTATGTCACATTTGGGAATACATCATAAAGAGACTAAGGATGGGATTGTGATATATGGTATGATAGACAGCCCACTCATTATCGCTTTAATCGCCAATTCATTATAATTTTTATGCGGAATATTTATCTTACGTTAAAATATAGTAAATTAATTGCTTTTTATAGTGTATTTGACACACGATTTATTAGAAAATGCTTAAAACACATCACACAGTCTTAGTCTTACAAAACTAATCTTAAATATCATATATTATTATATATTATTAATTGTAAGCTATATTTCTTTTATGTAATGTTCCTATACTATAGGCGCCGATTCCGTTCATAACTATCAACTAATACTAAGACAACTGGTTTACTTTAACCGAAAACCGGCCTATTATTTGAATCGTGCCTTCAAATTGACCTGTTCTGAACTGAACGGCCGGTTTTCCAGCAATGACTACATTCAGACACTTACCGTAATTCATCCCAAAGTGGATCAACAGAAACAGCAGCCGTCGATACCGTCGGCATCGCAGCAGAAGACAGTTCTGCATCCGAACGACCACATCATGATTGAGACACAACCCGTAGCGCACGCACAGGTCAACGACCATAAGGTCGAGTTCAAAGACGCCAGCATTAAGAGCGCCAACGGTTTTCTAGAGGGCGGCGGTCTTATCGAAGCTTCCGACGCTTTTGGCCGGACAACAGCCAGTAAGTGATTATAATATATATAAATGCGTTGTTACAGTGGATCAGCTTATTTAGATTGTAATACTTGTGTATAATTTCCTATTAACTATAGACCGCTTATCACCCATCGTTGTAGGTCATGCCGTCACTATCATTATTGTTGTGTGCGTCGGCTTTCTAGTATTTATGATAGTCTTGGGAGTCATACGTATCCGAGCCGCACATCAACGCTCAGGTGATGCCAGAGATGACGACCAGGAGATGGCTTGGGATGACTCCTCGTTAACCATTACAGTCAATCCATTGGATGTAAGTTTTTTTAACACTTTTTCTAATATTTTATTTTATAGTTTTGCATAAAAATGCTATTAATTTAAATGAATTTTAAATATAAAAGGCAATAACGCTTTTGCTATTAATGACAGCTTTTTAAAATTTAAAACATTAGACTTTTTAAAAATAGACTCATTGTTTGAATCGATATATAAATATATACAGTATTTTTTGTATATTTATATAAATGATTGACAATCTTTTTAGTTATTAATAATTAAATTAGCATTAAGATCTAACAGCATTACATTAACTTTATTGGACAGATATGTCATTGCCTATAGATATAATATATAGTAAACCATAAGAATATTCTGTATACTATATATATTTATAGTCTATTATATAGTATACAGAATATTCTTATGATTTCTTTATAATTTTGTGGACTTTGTATTCTAATAGCATTAAAACTATTTTTTTTATTTCGTAAATTTATATATATATGTATAACAATGTTAATTAGACAACATGTAATAAATTTCTTATTTATATATATTTAGCAATAGCTATAAAAATGTTAGTTTATAGGAGAAGATTACCAATTAAAAGGAAAATTAACTGAAAAAATATTGATATAATTTGTTAGTGACAGAGACATAGACATAGAGTAATAATTGAGCGAACAGTTTGTTATTTTCTGTTTAATGAGATGTTAATTGGAAAGTAAACTCATTTGCAACAAAACATTAAATTATTTTTCATCATTTATTAAACAAAAAGCTAACAATTTATTATTTTGTTGATATAAAAAAAATAATAAATGTTTTTTTTGTTTTAGCAAATCGAGGAACAGGAGGCACAGCATATGCAGGATGACGATGACGATAGCGACAGCTCTGATGACGGCAGCAGTTATCACGAGGACGGCGACAGTACCGATGAGGAGACACACGAAACTAAGACTAAGACCAGGAGAGAGCTCGAGTGGGACGACTCGACGCTCAACTTTTAACCAAACATTTCTATCACTCAAAACAAAACAATTGATCATTCATTTCATTCAACACAACCACAAAACGCTTTTTATTATTATTATTATTATTTAATTATCACTCGAAAATCAAGACATCAAAAAAAAAACAGATCCCGTTTCCAGACTAAGATATTGAATCCATTTGTTTGGTTGGGAGGAGGAAAACAATTACTTTTTTCTTTGTTTGTACCGACAAAATGATTGAATTTCTTAGTCATTGTATTATATGATATTATATACATTACAGTATTAGTATTATACTGTATATATACACACAGTATATATATATTTATATATTTTTGGCCAATTTTTTTTTTAAAACAACTTATTTATACCACCACACAAAATTGCATTTAATTATATTATTATTAATTTAATATGATTAATCACTCAATTTTATTTGCGCTGCTAAAAACCGACTCTGCTTTATATCAAACAAATAATACTAAAATTAATTATAACAATAGTAAATATTTAATTTGATAATAAGACCTGGCATCTATTAAAAAAAGACATACAATAACAAATTGTATTTAACAAGATTATAATCAAATATATATACAGTATATATATATTAATATATGTGTGTGTATATACAGTATATGTATAAATATTTTTTATTTATTACAGTATTTATATAATATAATATGCTTATTGTATTTTTAAAGTGATAACATTATAGTTTGTTTTGTTAATTGATCTGTGACATTTCAAATGGCCATCGCATACACAATACACTCAATTTGTATATTATATATGTATTAATTTGCTTGACTTAACAATCACTATATCATATATATATTGCTAATAATAATGTGCGCTTTCATTAATTAAAATTATTATAATTATTATTAATGAAAAACATACCAAAAACTACCAGTGCATCTAATAGGAGTGATCAGCTATAAAAGTGATCAGCAAAAATGGGAAACTATCAAATGCATTAAATGATGCTAATTTAATATTACCAAAATTATTAATATTACATACAATATATATATAAATATAATTGCTAGCAAACAAAAATGCTAGTTATTTATATTATATATACTTTATTATATGTAAAAATAATGACACAATTGTTTTAATTATTTTTCTGTGAAACTCATACAATTGTTTTTGGCATTTAGCATTTTATTATATAAAAAAAACAATTTTCATCATTATTAAGCTAATCATAATCATAGCCATCAAATGATTTATGTGCTATGCTTTACATTTTTTAAAATAAAATTTTAAGAAAAAGATAGTCAAATTGATAAAAAATAAGTAAGTTGAATAACTGTTTATAATGATAATAATAAGTAATTGTCAAATATATTGAATTGAAAAGTCACAGTTTTGTCAAACAAAACGTTTTTATCATTTTTTATTTGTTTTTTAGTAATTTGTTGCTTAATATAAGTTCCTTATAATTTTAATATTTTAATTATTGCCAATTTGCCAATTAATTTGATAGCTAGTGTTTGAATAATAACTACTAATCAATGCTTTATTATGCTTATATTAGTGCCATATATTTTATTTGTTTTTTTAATTATTATTTATATATAATTAATTTGTATACTTTTAAGTCGACAAATATTTATGTTTTACTTTTTTAAAAAAATATATATTTGTTTATTTACACAAAAAATTATATTATTGGGACATAAATCAAAGATATGACATAAAAAATCAAGTTATTTGATTTGATTGACAGATTTGTTTAAGACATATCTCTTTTTTAAAAAAGGCAAACAATTTAATACGGTAAAAAATAATAGCTTTTATTTACTTATTAAATCGACCAAAAATATATATATATATATATATATTGAGATATAATTTTGGATGACTTGAAAAAACAAGATATTATTAGGAAATATACTATTAGTAGTATAGCCTACTATTTGTACTATATTTTAAGTGAACCACCACTTTATTGATTGATTATACAACTGATTAATTGAATGATTATATTTTTTTCAATTGATTGGAGCACTTGTTGTATCGAGCATTACGAGGAAACAACTTGTTTAACAATATTGTAAAACATTTTAGTTATTATTATATATTTAAAATAAACAAAAAAAGAAAATATATATAGTTTTTAAAAAAATAATAAGAATTATCGTTTTTGTTGAAAGTCTTTAAGCAAACGTAAAATTAAAAAGTTATCTTAAATTATTTCTATAATATAAATATTATATATAATTACAGGCAAATGAAATAATTTTTGAATATTATATAATAAATGTCATTATTATTATTATTAACATTCCAAGTGATCTCTTATAACTTGTGTTTATTATTATTATTACAATTATTATATAATAATATGATTAATATTAAATTTTGTTATATAATTTTTAATTGTATATTATGAAAATTACAATTGATTTTTTTCATTTTACTACTAAATATGAAAAATACATTTAATAGGTTTATTTCAACAACAAAAAAAATTAATACACAATATAAATATATTTAGATATATGTATATTAAATTTAATGAAAATCTGATTTTCTATTGTAATTATACATTAATCTCTATATTTATTCAAAAAATATTTAATAAAAAACAACAAAATTCATGTAAAAATTTTTGCAAATCTATTGTAGTCTATATATATTGTATATCTTTTTTTTCTTGTATTAATCAATTATAAAATTTTAAAGTCGAAATGTATTTCAAAAATCAAATTATTTATAAATTCAATTTCATGTCAAAAACATAAACACACAATAAACAAAAATTGAATGTAAGTTATTGAAATTATTAAAAAAATACTTAAATCTAAAACATAAAAATAAAATATTATTAAAAAACACTGAAAACTCATATAAATATTGTTATGGTCCTAAAAATTAAAATAGATTAAGAGCTAACAATTAAAAAATCAATTGTAAAATCTGTGTAATCATAAAAAACAATTAATTTATTGTATAAAAATTGAAAAATTTAAAAAATGCAGTCTATTTGTGATTCCTCTTTTAATTTGTATTTGATGTATAACTTGCAATAAATATATTTAAAAATTTTAAAAAATTCCCAAAAAAATACTTGACTAATCATTATTTATAAGCAATTAAAATGGTAATCAAAGTAATGTGATATAAAAATATATAACTTATACAGTAGTATGATATAGTCGTATCAATTATTTGTTGTAGACTATCATCGAGGATTAATTTGTTTTAATTGAGATCAAATTGAAATAAAAATTTATCCGAAAATAATTACCACAAGTTTAGTGACATTTCCAATAAATAAATAAATATATATACAATATATATATTTATGTGTACTGTATATACACATTGAAAGAAAAGTTTAATATTGAGATTAAAAGTCAAAGCAATAGTCATTTTTCATTATCAGTAAATCATTTGGTAAAATGTCGTAATTGGTCACAAAAACTTAAACCAGAGATACATATGGTCTTTGATCTGACTTTAGCTTTATATCATGTTTTATCACTATTTATATTAAAACTGTTTATTCACTGATTAAATAAAGTCAATGTAAAAAATTTTAAGAGCAGCACATCATCAACAATATATCATATCATATATAACTCGTTAAAATGTTTTTAGTTAGTCATCAATAAAAATAAATAAATAATATTAAAGACCATAAAATGTTTAATTACTTATTGATTGAGTGATGAGAGTGTAAATAATTTTACCCCCAAAATAATGGCAATACATTTATGCAAAATAATTCAGAGACGACTTTACGACCTCTTCTCCAGTAAACAATCACTACTCTTGTGTTTTGCCTTTTTCTGTATGACATTCATAGCAACACTTCATATAATTGAGGTAATAATGGCTCTCAATATTTATTTAATTTATTTATGAGAAACTTATTGAAAGTTATTATATTTTTCTGATAATATTAATGACACCACTCTTTCAAAATGATGATCACTAAAATTTAAGGCCTAATAAAAGTTTGTTTTATAACTAAATTTTTCATACTATGTGAGAGATTTCAAGTAGTGCTTAAATGACAAGACGCTTGTCTTATATTTAATTAACTTTTATGTATCTCTCTATCTATCTATCTATATATATATATATATAAACTGTTATATTTATATACACAGAGTTATATAAAGTTTAATTAAGTTTGCTCTCAATTTTTATATCTTATATCCACTAAATGATTATTCTTTTAGATATTTCTTGTATGGAATCATAAAACAGATTCATTGATTAGGGGAACGGGCGATGAATACCATCAATCGTGTTATGACTTTCCAATCGATTTGGTCTATACGTGGGTTAATGGCAGTGATCCTAAACTGTTAGCGCAACTCTTGAAAACAAAACAACAAATTCAAAGCACATTCCTAAGACATGGTAATTGTGGTAATAATGACTGTAAAGCTAGTAATAGTACAGACATTAATTGTATTGATGGACACTGTTTGGTGACACCAATAGTATACATAAGCGCTAAACTAACTAATCCATACCATCTTTTCGGTGATAACGTGACTAAAGTTGAAATAATCAATACATTGTCCGGAACTCTACTCTACTTTGCAACACTTGATAAAGGTATACATCACTTGCCATCACATCTAAGTGATTGTAAATCATTTAATAATATATGAGTCTAAAAACCAGTGGCTATACAACTGATATCATAAGTTTAGGTTATAGCTTAACTATATATATATATAATACTGTATATAAATATACATCAAGTCATACAATATTATATAATATTATACTCTATATATTGTACAATATGTATAATATGTAGTGATGGGTCATAAAATAGATTTTCAGTGGAGTCAGCAAATAATGTCTACATTTTTATCTCATTTTTATTATTATATGATATGTTCTCTATTTATAGCTTACGAGGTAACTGAGCGCTGCTTTATATCCGATAATATGACCACTTATTCAGTGAGAAAGAGTCTTATAATTCTTGACAAGAGTATCGTCAACAATGAAACTACTGGTGCACTAAATAATGACACGAATGGCAATAAAAATAGCAGTTTTAGCTTAAAAGTCAATTCATTGATTCTGGTGTCGGGAATACCGGTGAATGCGACGACCAATCGCTCACAACTTGTCTTTTATTTATCTCCGATCGCCAGAAAACAAGTCGATGTAATCAATATTTATAAAGACAAACACATGGCTTTGTTATCCCTTAAGTCGAGTGCAACTAATGTCACGAAAGTAATAAATGCTTTGCATATGAGTTTCCGTACGGCAACTAATGGTATCGACACATCCATCAAAGTTGAACACCCCATCCATCTTCGTGTAGTCGATACTACTGATAGGTACAACATATCAAATCAAACGACTGACAAAACATTGGTTGAGTTAAATGATAACCGATTCTCTGACAATCAGGAACTCCGGTATTCATTGCGATCGGTAGAGAAATACGCCAATTGGGTGAGGAATGTCTTCATTGTGACCAATGGGCAAATACCTAATTGGATTAATCTGAATAATCCTAGGATTAAGATTATTACACATGAGGTTAGACAACGTTTAGGGATTTATAGAATAAACAGTAAATATAACATATTTTAGGAGATATTCCCAAATATAAGTCATTTGCCGTCATTTAGTTCACCGGCCATTGAAACACATTTGCATCGAATACCAGGTCTTTCAAAAAGATTTTTATATTTAAACGACGACTTTTTCTTTGGTGGACACATATATCCCGAAGATTTTTATACAAATAGTAAGGGCTTTAAGATATATCTTTCGTGGCCGGTGCCTAACTGTGTTGATGGCTGCCCTCTAAACTGGCTTAAGGATGGCTATTGTGATCAGGCATGCAATAAAAGTGAATGTCTATGGGATGGCGGCGATTGTTTAAAAGACAGCTCAACCACACAAAGATCTGATGTTTATAGTTATACCGACTCATCAATGAGTTATTCAGATGTATATTGTAGTGCTAGTTGTGTAGACAGTTGGCTAAGCGATCGATTCTGTGATCAAATATGCAATAATATTAATTGTGGCTACGATTTGGGCGATTGTGGTACAGATATGTTTGAAAATATTTTTAATTTTTATTTTAAGCCCAAACAAAATGCTTATAATTTAAGTAATGATATTAATGTATTTTATTTTAATTTAAGTGATTTTCTTTTGTTAAACAATAAAAATAGTGACAGTTTTCAAATTAATGAATTGAGTTACGAAAACAATAGTTTTGTCAGATCGGCGGCACTTAATATGATTCACAAAGTATTAACGTTTGTATTGATACCAAACCGACAAAAACATGATCTCAACATTGCTTTAAAAGGACAGAAAAATAAGTCAGAATTTGTCATCAATTTTCAGCTTTTATTGACTAATGACTCAAAACTTCAAAATACAAGTGATTTCTCAATAGACAAGAACATCAACAACAGCGGTAGTGATGATAATGAAACAGAAATGCTAGTAATGGTTACTCATCTGAATGATTCATATTTGGGTGATAGACATACAATAAGTGATATACTAAGTGATAACAACAACAAAAATAACACCACAATCATCATCAACAACAACAACGAGAACACCACTGAATTTAAATTCAAGAATCGATTACCAGAATATCCGAAAATTTTGCCATTGAATGAAATGCTATACATTAATAACATATCACTTGAATGTGATTTCAATGTCAGTGAATTGCCCGATGATATCAAAGAAAAGTTCAACGACTTTGACATTAAATTCAAGAACGGAATTCTTACGGAAAATGGATTTAAAAATTTTAGGACACAATTAATACAGTTATATGTAAAACAAATTTGCAATTATAAGACAACAATCAAATTATATGACAGAACAATGAGTTTTCTTGATTGGGAAAGACAGTCGACATTTGCTGACATCGAGACTGGTCTAAGTCTTGAAGAAAATGTTGACAAAAATCGTGTCTTACGAAGACATTTGATGGACTCGTATGCAGACTCACTAAAACATGTCAATTATCTCTATAATAAAGTGTTTGGTATTGAAATGCGTAAAGTGCCGGCACATATGGCCCACTTCATTGATGTCGATATCATGGATAGACTACAAAATACATTTAGACATCACTTTGAAATCACATCATCGCATAAAATTCGCAGCAGTGATGACATGCAGTTTGCATTTGCATACAATTATTATTTAATGAGTGAGACCAGGGATGTCAATCTTACTCAAGTGTTCAACGATTTTGATGTCGACCACTCCGGGTATACTTATCTTTAACTTTAATTTTTCATTTAAATTACTAATTAATGTCATTTTTATATAAAAATGACATCTTTTTAAGAAATTTCTTAAAACTTTATTATTATTCATTTATATTAAAATTCATTTTGTTATTAAATTTTAATGTTATATATAAATTATACTACAGTATATAATCTATATAAATTTATAAATTGACTATACTAGTGATATATATATATATGCAGTATATATTGTATAATATTGTAGTTTCTATATAACATTAACCAACAAATATACTGCTACAGTAATGTTTATAAATTTATTAGTGAAAAATATTTATCACACTTCTAGGCAATTGTATAATAATATTATGCAAAAAAACACACAGTATTTTTCAATAATTATATTCATAACATAAGAGATTATATGCTGTAAAGGCATCAAAAAAAACTATATGACATTATTTGTCAATTAAATCATACAGAAGTTGGTCTATTAGTGAAATAAGGACCGTAATCATCAATATTTATGAGTTACCATTAAAATGGGAATCTATGGACCAATTTTATAAAATGCTATTTTCGTGCTGTAATTCAAGCGACTATTTGTGTAGTGAAGTGCAAAACAATGCGAATCTTTCACAATATTATTATTATAGAGAAGAATCACCACTTCTATTGCCAGTACATGAGCTACCAAAACAAGTAATTGCACGATAAGTATTGATTTTCTCTGCTTTTAATGTTATTATGTTATATATATATATATTATATAATAAATATAATATATTAACAAAATATTTTTGATGTGTTTTTTGAGGAAATAAAAAATTCTTAGTTTTGTTTTTACTAAAAAAAACGATTATTTTGTATCACTCTTTCACTATACTTTCAACAACTAATTTACTAACAAAAAAACCGATTTTGTTTTAATAATTTTTTATTATTATTTTTGTTTATTTCAGTCAATTGTATTTCCAATGTCTTTGGTGATGGACTGCGTTAATGTAACAAATAAATTAAGAAAACTTTATGAAAAAAAGCAAAAATATAACAAATTTGAGATATTAGGCGAAGAAGACGTTACTTTCAAAATGATTAGATCTAATGCAACAATTGTTGGACAAGAATTGGATGAATTGAGAAAACATGTGAAAAAATTCATGTGTTTGAATGATAACATTGATGATCACAATAGTGATGGCAAACACAACAATATCAGTCAAATAAAGCAAATGTTAGTCGACTTTTATGAATCAATATTTCCGATGAGATCGCAATTTGAGTTACCGTTGGGTCAAACAAATCGATTTACTTGTATTCATGACTATAGTCAGTGGAAACACAAACAAAACTCCAGTTCCCAATTCATGTCTTCAAACATATGGATTATTGTAATAGTATTTGCTTTAATTCTAACCATTATATCAAAGGTATTGCATAAACATTGTGACAACTTTTCTAGGAAATTGAAATTTTTTTAATCAAAATATATATATATACCGGTATATAATAGTATTATAAAGATTATATATTTATTTAAATATACTTTTTATTGATACTAACTTTTTGATTTTATTTACAAATAATATAGAAAATTTTATGGCTGTCAAAAAAGGCAATCAATTTTTTTGGCTCAAAATATTATAGAAAAGATTTAATTTAAATTTGACATTTTTCCACATACAGTAATGATTATTGATTATGTTTTTTGTATAATAAATTAAAATATATAATAAACGCAAAATTAGATTATTTTTTAATTCATATAATAAACACTATTCTCTCTCATGTAATTTTATAATTATATGTTTTAAAACTGCTTATTAAGTTTTTTATTACATTAACATAATACTGTATTTATATAACATTTGAAAGTAAAATAATAATAATAATGAAAATTAAATTTATATTTTCATAATAATTATTAAACTCTTCTATTAGTCAATCAATAGGTTTTTGAGTATATAATCAAAACGACTAACATATCATCAATCAAAAACTCATCTATTTTTAAACTCAAAATATTGATTATAATGGAAAAAAAGGAAATCACGTTTTTGTAACATATATTTTATTACATTATTAACTCACCTATTAGTGAATTATCTCAAACATCTAAACATACTATGTATGCGACATAAAAATTACTATATAAATAATATTACATAATTCAATCATATTATTAGAAATTATATTTATTATTATTATGAATTTATATTAAATTTTATCAAAAATTGATATTATTTTTATTTTTCTTTATTTTTGAACATTAAATTTTTATTATATTTCAAATATGATTAATTGATTTATTTCGAGTAGTTTATTAAATATTGTAAATATTCTCTAATTTGGTTTAAACGTTAAAATCTTTTTTAACAAAATAATACAATATATATTTGCATAAAAATACACAAAATTTAATTATAATAATCAAAATTATAAAAATTTTCCACTTATTAAATATTTAGGCAGAAAATAAATCTAAATTGTGTGACAATTGCATGACTCATACTATATACCATATATTTCATATTATATTGAAAATACGGTACAACTTATGTCCAAAAAAAATTTCACTAAATATTAATATATAGTTAGAATGAAATACAGTGAACGATCATTAGAGACATATATTCTTTAGAATAATAATAAAGAATATTCTGTGAGTTCACTAAATATTTTAATGTCTCGCATGGGATGTAAAAAACGCTAATTAATGACAATATAATCAAAATCTTTTCACACTTTTTTTAAGTTGCCATCAAATTTGCTTAATTTATAGAAATCATAGGAGAAAATGATTTTATATCAGAAAAATTCAATTTTAACGCTACATATTGTGTTCATAACTTGTATTCACTGTACAGTATTATATAGTATAGTGAAACACTTACACAGAATATTCTAATATATATTTTTTGTAAATGTTTTTTCTCTACAGAATATGTAATCAATTGTTTCAACGCTCAGACATAACAACATAACAGTGCGATATAAACTCTTCCCGTCTATATTTGGGGCTAACATTCCCTATAGTCATGATTTTTTTTGAGACAACTTTCAACTCCATATAACTGAACAGTAAATTAATGATTAGATTAAGGGGTAGAGTATTGTGTGTCAAAAGCAAATGCCTTTAATCTCAGCAGTCATTAGATAAGTTGTGTTTGTGTTATAACAGTATATACTGTATTATAGTGTTTGTGTTGTTAATTGCAAACACATAGCCATCGAGTGTTTTATACATTTATTACATGTTTTATTATATGCATTACATAACATATACAGTATAATACATACTGTATATATAGAGAGAGAGAGAGAGAGAGACACAAAACATTATAACAGACTATCATATATAAGAGAGATATATAGACTATATTTAATGTAATCAATTGTAGTGCCATTGAAATCAATAGGAAATATATATAGTTTTTAAACTTATAGATATTTTTAGTTCAATTAATAATCGCACAGTTATTTTGTACACCAGATGACAGTCCTATTGCTGTATAAACACATAATGTCAATGAAATGCATTGAATGAATGTGTGACTTATTATTATATAAAAAAAAGTAAAGTATTAATACCTGCAAACTTCAAACACAAGTATAATACAGTAAACACTAGTTATTTGATACATAAGCGCACTGGTGTTAGTCATCATTAAATAGTCCCTGGTTAATTTTGATTAATGATTTTTTAAAAATGATACATTAGTTGAAAATATTTGATTAATAAAATTGATGAGATAAACAAAATTGACATTGCACATTTTATACATTTTACACATTTTATACATTTTATACATTTTATACATTTATGTTATGTGTAACAGCAATCGGGTGTAGAGGTGTATGAGTAGAGGTGGGCGTAAATGGCGGACCGGTATCTCTGAGAGGTTTGAATGTATGACTGACTCTATTCCTCTATTTCTATCGAATATTATTTAGTAGTACTGTATTAGCGAAGCCTAACGTTGAACAGCAATACAACAACAAAATAGCATAACATTTGTATATAAAATATATTCATAATAGCAGTCATAGAGTGTAGGACTCACTCTATTTGCAAACTATTCACTAATTTATCGATTTGTCAAACAATATATACATTCATTCATTTCATTCATTCATTGGACTCATCATTGAATGTCATTAACTGTTTGCTTGATTTGCTATCAAATTGTACGGCCATTGAGTCCATTGAATATAATTATAATACCGAAACTACCGATCATTTTATAAAACCAGTGACCACTTTGTCGTACCGATAGTAATGTAAGTTCCTATTTGTTGATGTTGTGACCAAACAACCGGACTTTAAGTTTCGGTGTTTGTGTGTCTGAATGAGTGATTGTCACCCAAACAGATCTCTCATCCAAAATGTTTTTGTTTGTGATTGCAATTGATTTTCTGTCTTATTATTTATTATTCAATAGAGATATCCCAATGAATTAGTTGACCACAATATCTTCAGATCAAACGGTGATATTATTTGTTGTTGTTTTTTAGTGACAACACATTAGAAGAAAAGGCATATATATATAAAGATTAACAGCAATTGATACAGTGATAGTCAATAGATTTAGAGGACAGGTGGGTAAACACAAGAGAGAGGACACGAATCGCAAAATGCCTGCCGTCAGAGGGGATGGCATGAGAGGGTTAGCCGTATTTATATCGGACATCAGAAACTGTAAGTGATTTCAATTTAAAGACATTTATTAAAATTTATTTATCAACTCTTCTTCTGTCACATTCATTGTCTGTCCAAACAATGCTTTGGAGAGAAAACAACAAAAGTGTCGTCAAAACAGTGTCTCTCAGATAACAACACTTGTTATCATTATTTGAATGAATGAATCAATTAATTAATTGCACTGTATTTGAGTTCACAATTTTATATCTTATTGTTTTTTACTTTATCTTATATTATTTTTCAAATCATTTTTGAAATTTAAATTATGATTTATTTTTAAATAATTTGTTTTTTAAACATTTGATCCGACAGTCAAAGGGGGTGTTAATGTCACTCACAATGAATGTGTGAATAATGATGTAAAACACTATTTAGACAGAGAGTTGTTTCTAACTAATGGTTTTAAATTGAAACATAAAAATATTAATTTCTATTTTGTTTACGATTACAATCTCTACACTAATAATAGGCAAAAGCAAAGAAGCGGAGATCAAAAGGATCAACAAAGAGTTGGCAAACATACGGAACAAATTCAAAGGCGACAAAACACTTGATGGATACCAAAAGAAGAAGTATGTTTGCAAACTATTGTTTATCTTTCTGTTGGGTCACGACATCGACTTCGGACACATGGAGGCCGTCAATCTCTTGAGTTCTAATAAATATTCGGAAAAACAAATCGTTAGTATCCATTACAACATATTATTTGTTTGTTTGTTTGTATTTGAAATCTAATCTCTTGTAAATATGTTTTTTAGGGATATTTGTTTATATCAGTACTCATGAATGCAAACAATGATTTAATGAAATTAATAATCCAATCGATCAAAAACGACTTATCTTCACGTAACCCGATTCATGTTAATCTCGCTCTTCAATGCATTGCTAATATCGGTAGTCGGGAAATGGCCGAGACTTTTGGCAATGAAATACCGAAGCTTTTGGTTTCTGGCGAAACCATCGATGTTGTGAAACAAAGCGCTGCCCTCTGTTTGCTTCGCCTCTACAGAGCTCTTCCCGATCTAACACCGAGTGGCGAATGGACTTCAAGAATCATACATTTACTTAATGATCAGCATATGGTTGGCATTAGATTTTCAATTTAGTTCAACATATTTAATATTAAATATATTTATCTATAATTTAAAGGGTGTGGTGACAGCAGCTGTTAGCGTAATTAACTCATTAGTTAATCGAAGTCCCGATGAGTACAAGGGCTGTGTATCACTAGCCGTGTCGCGACTAAGTCGTATTGTTACCGCTTCGTATACAGATCTGCAGGATTACACCTATTATTTTGTACCGGCCCCGTGGCTATCGGTCAAATTATTGCGATTACTCCAGAACTATCCGCCACCCGACGATCCAGGTGTCAGGGGTCGACTCAATGAATGTTTGGAGACTATCCTGAATAAAGCACAGGAGCCGCCAAAGTCTAAAAAAGTTCAGCACTCGAACGCTAAGAATGCCATACTATTCGAGGCTATTAGTCTTATCATACATATGGATAGTGAACCAAATTTGTTAGTACGCGCCTGTAATCAATTAGGACAGTTCTTACAGCACAGGGAGACTAATCTAAGATATTTAGCACTTGAAAGTATGTGTTTGTTGGCCACATCGGAGTTTTCGCACGACGCCGTCAAGAAACATCAGGACACTGTCATCAATGCACTTAAGGTTAAATCTAGACTTTATTTTTGCTATTTTTTGTTTTAATATTTTGTTTGTTTGTTCTGTAGACTGAAAGAGATGTTAGTGTTAGACAACGAGCTGTCGATTTATTATACGCGATGTGCGATAAATCCAACTCCGAAGAGATTGTTAGCGAAATGTTGGCCTATTTAGAGACAGCGGACTATTCCATACGTGAAGAAATGGTTTGTTGTTTTGTTGATAATGATTAATATATGATTGATTTATGAAATTAAATTGTATTTTTTACTACAGGTGCTAAAAGTAGCCATTTTGGCCGAGAAATACGCGTCGGACTACACCTGGTATGTGGACGTCATATTAAATCTGATTCGAATCGCTGGTGACTACGTTAGTGAAGAGGTCTGGTATCGAGTCATTCAAATTGTGATAAATCGTGAGGACGTACAGGGATACGCTGCCAAAACTGTGTTTGAGGTTTGATTAACAATTGTTATCTTTAAGTTCATCAATACAGTAGTTAACATGAATGTTACTTTGGGAACAGGCTCTTCAAGCACCGGCATGTCATGAAAATATGGTTAAAGTTTCGGGTTATATATTAGGAGAGTTCGGCAATTTAATAGCAGGCGACTCGCGATCGAGTCCGCTCATTCAGTTCCAATTATTACATTCAAAATACCATTTATGTTCGGCAATGACGCGGGCATTGCTTTTGACAACTTACGTGAAATTCATAAACTTGTTTCCCGAAATCAAAGGAGACATTCAGACAGTACTCAAAAACGATAGCAATATCCGGAGCGCCGACGCAGAGCTCCAGCAGCGGACAGTTGAATATCTTCAGTTGTCGCAAATCGCTACGACCGACGTGTTGGCCACAGTTCTTGAAGAGATGCCTCCATTTCCCGAACGCGAGAGCTCTATATTAGCGTCGCTTAAGAAGAAGAAACCGGGAATGACTAGTGGTGTGGCCACTACTGGCAAAGAATATAAGGGAACGATGAATAATAATACTAATAATAATAATATTGCATTAAATGACTTAACAGCTCCACTGAACAACAATTCGAACGCATCGGCAGATCTTCTAGGATTGAATAGTTCGCCGCCGGTCACCGCAACATCCAATCAGTCGAATGCAAGTCTATTGGCCGATGTTTTCGGCGATGTTTCAGGCATATCATCGAATAGTCCTTCGACTATAAATAATAACAATATCGGCGGCACTTCCAATGCTGTTGTTGTTAGCAATGATGAGGGCATTAAAAAATTAGTGTCGAAACACAACGGCATTCTCTTCGAGAATGATATTCTCCAGATTGGAGTCAAATCGGAATTTCGTCAGAATCTCGGAAGGATTTCCCTCTTTTATGGCAATAAAACTAATTCTCAGTTCCAGTTGTTTTTGCCATCGATTTCATGTAGTGAACAACTTTCCAAATGTGAGATAACTAAATAAATTTAGTTTAAATATTCTATTAAAATCATAAAAATATTTTATTGTTATTTTTTGTTGTTGGTATCTCCAGCCCTAGGCCTTCAAGTGAAACCTGTAGAGCCAGTCATTGATGCCGGTGCTCAAGTGCAGCAGCAAATCAATGTGGAGTGCATTAGTGATTTCGATGATTTTCCCACCCTTTTAGTGCAATTCAATCACAACGGCCCGCAAAGGTTTCCATTAAAATTTCCGATAACTATAAACAAATTTCTGGAACAAACACAAATGGATTCCGAAACATTTTTTAGCCGCTGGAAGAACTTAAATAAGTAATTTTTTATTTAATTATTTTTATATTTATTAAAAAAAAATCTCTGAATTTGTTTTAGTCCATCACAAGAGGCGCAAAAGATATTCAAAAACAAGTTTGGAATGGATTCCGAAGTAAACAAAACCAAATTATTGGGATTTGGTTTTCAATTATTAGAAAATGTTGACCCGAATCCCGAAAATTTTGTTTGCTCTGGAATTGTCCACTCGAAGGCTGTTCAAGTGGGTGTTCTGCTTAGACTTGAGCCCAATATGCAGGCACTGGTATGTCAATTGTTTGTTACAATATATTGTCCGAATTACTATTTAGATAATTACAGGTTGATAGGGATATATAAATAATAAATAACTTATTATTAATTTATAAAAGTTTATTCTATTATTTCTTAATCGGCTATTAGTATTACATACCTGTCCTCACTTTACTACTTTTTTTTCACTGTAATCCTATTATAATAGTTTTAATGTCTAGTAAATCCTATTAAAACAATTAAAGATATCAATATAGAGCAACAATTTTATTTTGACATTTATTACATATATTAATAATTTAATTGTTTTTTTTGTTTGTTATTATACACAGATGTATCGATTGACTATAAGGTCGAGTAAAGACACGGTTTCCCAACGTATGTGCGAACTATTGTTTGATCAGTTCTAGTATTCATAATAATACCGTTAGTTAAATAACCACATAATATATATATATACAGTATATCGTGGGATATCTTTTTAAAAAAATTGAATGTATTGGTGATGATAGTGTATATTATATCCAATTATTACATAATAGTAATAATATATATATAAAATATCCGATAATTGAAAACAAGTTGTCAAATCATTTAAAATTATTTATTTTGAAATTATTTTTTATTGATTTTAATTTAATATAAATTAATTTTTTTGGCTGTTCAATTTAATCATTGACAAAAATAAATAATTAAATAATAAACATTACCTTTAATTATTGTAACACAAGTTTAAAAGTCTAGTTTAAAAAAACTATTTGTTATTTTTAGCCATATTTCTATAAATCTATAAAAATATTGACGGTTTTATGACATTATTAAAAAGTGCTGTTAAATTAAATCATTGAATTTTCATTAAATTGTTAGATCAATAAATACAATAACTCTTTAATTATATTTTGATTGTTAAGTCATTTATTTTGATTTTTTTTATATTTATATACAAACAACACTGTAATATGAGATCTATTATAAAGATTATTGATAAATATATTTTCATTTTATGATTTCATTTTTTAAATATATATATATATATATCATATATATACAGTATATATAAATAAAATTGTCTTTTTTTGTTATTATTTGAAAAATGCCTAATTATTACAGTATTATCGAAACATTTGAAATCATTTGAAAAAACAAAATGATTATCGAAAGGTGAGCTAGGTTGTTTCTTAAATATATATATATATACAGTACATAATAAATAATAAACTTATATATCATTAAAAATCTAAAAGTATATTGTTATTGATAATCCAATTTTGCTAATAATTAAAAGTGAAAATTATTTTTTTTATATAATAAAAAGCTAGTAATATGTGGTTTGATCTCAAATTTTATCTGACATTTATTGTTACAAATTATTTGTTTGTTTGTAATGTTTTAGCGAAACGTTGTTACTGTCAGTGCCTTTAAAATACAATACAATATAATGTGTGAAATGAATCACATTTTAGTCATTCAATCGATTCTTAGCTCTCGTGAAGCAATGCTTTCCGACTTCACAGACAAATGTGTGAATAAAACTAGTGTTGTATTAATACATTCGGCGATAGTATTAAATGTAATAATAATTATTATTTTAGAAAAAATGATTATTTATTAATTAATTAAAAAATTAATTAATTGATAATAATTTATCGCAATTCAACTTTTTTTTTAATATTAAATACACATATCATATCTTTTTTATTACTTATTGGCTATATTTTTAACACTGTATTAAAAACTTAATTGCACTAAAAAATAGTAAATTCATATCTATAGTACAGTAGTAATAATAATAATTATTATTATTATTTATCAAATAATAAAAATTGCATAATTTTCAATTTATAATAAAAATCATCATCATCATACATGTACTATTTTACCCACTACAGTATTATTATTAATAATAATTACATAGCTTAATATAGTCAAACAAGTGTCCTAGTACAGTTTATAATTATTATTAATACATTGGAAGCCATGCAATGAATCATATTTGTTGAATGTGTGTAAATACAACACTAGTTTGACTGTCTATTACAATATGTATAGTACTATAAACCCAAACCCATCTCACATGTGAACCATTGAATAGCAATAATGATAACTAAATCCAACATTAATTGCAATCAAATGTTTGGTTTTGTTTTAAATTAATTGTCATTTTGTTTGAATTCAATCGTTTGATTCAATATTTATCACATTATCTGTCAATTTGTTTACAAATTGTTTTTCGATAACATTTCTTAACCAAAGAAAAGCAGATTTTTTAATAATAAATATATTTTTCGTCAACTTTTTTCTGTGCCGAAGAAGTGGCCAAACATTTTGTCATATATTTAATAACCGATTAACTTCTTGTACACCAAAACGAAATGGACAACAATAAGTTGATTGAGTTGTTTAAGGGAACAATTGATCCCAATCTGAGAGCCGACGCCGAGAAACACTTGGAACAGGTTTTTTGGATTTATCTCTGAATCTATTTATCTGATCATTGATTATGTTGTTTGTCGTCAATTAGGTCCACAAAATCATCGGATTTGTACCGTCGATACTTCAGGTTGTGATGGACAGTAACGTAGAAATGCCTGTCCGTCAGGCATCGGCCATCTATATGAAGAATCAGGTGGTAACCAATTGGGCCGATAAGCCGACGCCACCACCCGGACAACCAACCGGCCAAATGGTGTACTCCATCCATGAACAGGACAGAGGCGTTATCAGAGAACAGATAGTCGAAGCCATAGTGTTGGCTCCCGATCTCTTACGCGTTCATTTGGCCACTTGTGTCAATCATATGATTAAACATGATTTTCCCGGTCGTTGGGTTACAATTGTCGAGAAGATTGCCATCAGTTTGCAGACACCCGAACCCAACAGATGGATGGGAGCGCTGGTGGCTCTCTATCAGTTGGTCAAGAATTTTGAGTACAAGAATAATGAAGATCGGACACCATTACTGGAAGCCATGAAACTGTTGGCTCCCGTTGTTTATCAACTATTTGTTAATCTGATGCCCGATCCAAGTGAACAATCAGTACTTCTTCAGAAACAAATGTTGAAGATATTCTACGCTTTGGTTCAGTATTCTTTACCATTGAGTTTATTGACAAATGAAATCTTCACTCAATGGATGGAAATTTTTAGACAAATTGTCGACAGAGATGTTCCTCAAGATTTAAGTAATATAGACATTGATGAGCGGCCAGAGTTGGCCTGGTTTAAGGCCAAAAAATGGGCGGTTAGGATAATGACACGAGTTTTTGAACGATACGGTTCACCGGGAAATGTCCACAAAGAGTATAAGGCATTTGCCGATTGGTATATTAAAACTTTCTCACACGGAATCATTCAAGTGATGCTTAAGATCTTAGAACAATACGGTCATAAAGTCTATGTCCCGCCAAGAGTTATGCAACAGTCACTTAATTATCTGAATACAGCGTAAGTAATGAAAAAATAAGATTTAAAAATCAATTACCGGTAATTTATTTTTTAAAATTTAGTGTCAATCACGCCTTTACCTGGAAATTAATTAAAGCTCATATGACTATAATTGTTCAAAACATACTGTTCCCACTCATGTGCTATTCCGATGAAGACGAAGAACTTTGGTCGACTGATCCACAAGAATATATTCGAATCAAATTTGATGTCTTCGAAGATTATGTCAGTCCCATAGTAGCCGCTCAAACACTTTTGCACACCTGCTGTAAAAAGCGTAAAGAAATGCTTCAAAAATCGATGGGATTTGCCGTTCAAGTATTGAGTAATACTAACTCTGATCCGCGTATGAAAGACGGTGCTCTTTATATGGTTGGTGCGGTGGCAGACATTCTGCTCAAAAAAGATTTATACAAAGATCAGATGGAAAACATGATAGTGGCCTACGTGTTCCCTCAATTTCAATCACCTCACGGTTATCTAAGAGCCCGTGCCTGTTGGACACTTCACTACTTTCATGAAATACAGTTTACCAATGATGCCAACCTATACCAAGCTTTGTCTTATTTGCAAAATTGTTTGCTTACCGATAAAGACTTGCCGGTCAAAGTACAGGCAGCCATTTCGATGCAGGAAATGATATCATTTCAGGACAAATCAAAACAAATGATTGAACCAAATATAACACAAATAGCACTGGAATTGTTGAAAGTGATTCGTGACACAGAAAGCGAAGAGATGACTAATGTTATACAGAAAGTGGTTTGCATTTTCAGCGAACAATTGACACCGATTTGCGTACAAATGACTGAACACTTGGCCCACACATTAAGTCATGTGATTAATCCGAGCGCTGACGATGACGGCGAAGACAAAGCATTGACTGCAATGGGAATTCTCAACACAATTGATTCGATTCTAATTATGATGGAAGAACAGAAAGACATTATGGAAAAATTAGAACCAATTGTTATACAAATTATTGTTTCCATCTTTAATCAAGAATTAATGGAGTTATATGAAGAAGCATTCTCTTTGATTGCAACCATTACCACAAACACGATCTCTCTAAACATGTGGAAGATATTTGAGATGATGTACCAGATATTCAACAAAGACGGCTTCGATTACTTCACTGATATGATGCCATCGTTGCATAACTTTATAACCGTAGATCCCGATGCTTTCATTGGCAATTCAAATAATATATTAGCCATTTTCGAAATGAGTAAATCGATAATGAATTCAGAATCGGGCGAAGAGGCCGAATGTCACGCAGCAAAGCTCTTGGAGTGTATTATATTGCAGTTCAAGGGAAGGATAGACACTTGCATTCCTTCGTTTGTCGAATTGGCTATAACTCGGATGACTAGAAATATAGAAGCAGAAGATTTGAGGACAATTTGTCTTCAAGTGGTTATCGCCGCTCTATTTTATAACTCAGACCTAACGTTCCAGATCTTAGAGAAACTTCAAATGCCTAACTCTAATCAATCTCTAATCAATCATTTTATTAACAAATGGATTGCAGACACTCACTGTTTTGTCGGTCTTCACGACCGCAAGATGTGTGTTCTCGGTCTCTGTACTCTAATGAGTCTTGAAGTTAACAAAAGGCCACAAGCGCTCAACGATTTGGCCAATCAATTGATGCCATCATTATTACTATTGTTTGACGGTCTCAAAGAAGCGTATAAATCTAAAGCTGAAAATGAATACGAATCGGACACTGATTCTGATGCCGTTACTGATGATGACGAAGAAGGAGACGATGTGGAAGATTTAGATGACGATGAAGATAATGTCAGAGGTAATGATGGAAAAATTCGAGTACTGGTTAAACAATTCAATAAAAACTGTCCCTTTCCTGTCACATCAGCACATGTTATGGATGACGATAGAGATGAATCAGACATAGATGACGATGACGACGAAGATGATGACGACGATTTCGAATTGACTGCTTTAGAATCATATAAGACATCCATTGATTCGGATGACACACCCGATGATGAGTACATAATATTTAAAGAATTGCTCGAATCTATACAACAAAAGGATCCCAATTGGTATAGTATATTAATGTCACCACTTAATGGAAATCAACAAAAATCAATTCAAGAGATATACACTTTGGCTCTCCAGAGGAAAGCCGCTGCAGGTATAGACAGGCGTTAATTATTACTAATATATATTGTTTGATAAATACCAGTGAAGGAAATGTTTGTTTTCATTGATTATACATTTTTTGTTTTGTGTGACCAGAGTCTCGAAAGATAGAGAAGAGCGGCGGTTATATGTTTGCCAACGCCAACGTTCCGACCAGTTTTAACTTCGGTGGTACTCCCCTATCGTAACCATAGCTGACACCGATTTAGTTTTTTAATTACAATTTTTATTATTAAATTTAATTCAAAGTTATCTGCTCTTAAAAAATAAGCTATAAATTAAATACTGTATACGGAATACAGTATATATATATATAAATAATTTTGAATTGATTTTAACTCTTTAGAAATTACTGTTATTATATATATATATATTGCTTTGATAAACAATTTAATGAAATATGATTTAAAAATTAGGAAAAATATTTATATATTTTTATTTGACATTTGAATGAAATCGATAAAAGTGAAAATTGCCATTAAGTGATGATTTTAAAATAAAAAGATTAATCAATAATAATATCAGTTCATTAAAAACAATAAATTATATCTATTTAAGCAAATTATTTTGTATAATCGTATAAATTTTCACATATATTACTAATTAAGATTTTATTAACTATATTGCAAAATAATTACCGGTACCGGTAAGCCTAAATTGTGTCAAATACATAACCTATAAAATGTTAAATATTAATAAAAAATACTATTGTACTATAAGTTTTTATTTTACCAAAATGTATTTTCAACTGCAAAATCATTTGCAAGTTTAATATTCAATATTACCGGTAATAATAATAAAATATCAAATACAAAAATCATTTGAAATATAATTGTTTATTGAAGATATATAAAGAAAAAAACGTTTTATGATTTTTATATACAAATCGATGATAAATCACAAATAAAAGATATTTTCTAATATATATAAAATTAATTAAATAATTATTTCTATAATAAGCCCATCAATTTTCAACTTTTTTACTTAACTCATTCATTTAAAATATTTATTCAAAAGCTTTTGGTGTAATAATAATAAATCAATAATAATAAGACATTGATAGCTGTTATTGTCTTAAACATCTATCAAAATAAGTGTTGGCTATCTGTCCGCCGCCCATAGCTTTGCGCACATTTGACTCAAACAGTCGTCTATTAGTTTGAAGCACTTCTGCGGCCTCTTTATTCAACGGGTCTTCAGGATTGGGCTCCTATTATGTGTTAAACGTATAATTAGTACATTATTTTTTGCGTATAAGTCTATCATTAAATTATTATAGAATAAGTCGTAACTATAAATAGTCTATTAAAAAAAGATAGCTTTGTTTTAATGTGTAAGTTATTATACAATCATTTTTCAATAAAATTATTTCTATTACTATAGTATTGCGTAAATAATATGTAATAATAATAAAAAAAATGTGGAGATTATTGAAAATGTCTGTTAACTTAAATAAATACAAACATTTCAATCAACGATATATACAGTATATAAATAATGAGTTCTAAGTATTTTATGAACTTATTAATGCTTTTTTAATGTTAAAAATGATTAATTAGATTAAAATCAATATAATAAAGAAATAGAGAGAAAAATCAATACTCACTAAAAACAGATACTGTAATCCATAAACAATTGAATTAATGGTAAGAACCGGTTTCCAGTCTTCGCGTAGAATATTAAGACATACATTGCCCTCGAGATCAATGTTTGGGTGATAGACACGGGTCTCGCACTTGACTTTTGGTGGTTCGTGCGGATAGTTTTGGGACACTTTAAAACTAAATGAAAATTTTCCGCCCTTATAGAAACCCTGTCCACATAACAAATACAAATTATTTATACTACTAATCTATAAATAAGTTTTTTAAAAACTAAATTTACATTAAAATTATAGACAATTTCATATAAACTTTAATTTAATATATACAGCAATTTCAATGTCAATGTCATCAAATTAATGGCAGCATTGAATTCAATGCAATAATAAGAGATAAACTATAAAATATAAAACTATTATTAAGATTGACTTAAATCAATGACACATGAATTGCAATATCATCTTTAAATATAAAATACTGTAAATCATATATAAATTTAGTGATAATCGATGGCAAACAACATTGTAAACCAACCTCATCGGGACAGATGATGATCTTGAAGTTTAAGAGATCTCCTTCTGGATCGGGAACCATAACACAGTTCTTCGGTAATGTTAACTCATTTATATCTGTATTGAAATTAAACAAAAAATACATTACATATGGATTAGAAATATAAAATACCAATCGATTGATTGGCTTAATAGTGTTGATGGCGATTGTCGTCGTCGTCATCGGTGGTTAAAAAAAATAAAAATAACAATACCTTTAGTGATGCGAATCTGTGCGGCAGTATTGCGACGGCTTTGCGACGACTGGTTCTGTTGATTAGCCGTCTGTCCCTTCAATGAAAACAATTTAATCATCGCTTAAATCTTCGGCTAATTTTTATAATCTTCTTCTTCTTGTTGTTGTTGTTGTTCTTCGTTGTTGTTGTGATCACAACTGCAATGAACTGCAAACGGATTGTCGACTCAATTGATGTCAACAACAACTACAACACTATTTGTTTAACTATAATATAATGTCAACAAATGTGACAACAATTCAATCGATTATTATTTTGTTATTGAATTGAATTTTTTAAAAATTCAATTAAGACTTAAATTTGTCGACAATTTTTTGTATTCAATTCAATGTCTTATAATATTAAACACCAAAAAATAGAGTTCAATACTAACAGTACAGTCAATGCTGTGACACAAAGCTTAACACAATATAACTAATTATTAATACATTGAAGTCATGTATTAATTCAATGAACACACTATGAATAGTATTCAAAATATAAATTACGTCTACAAATGATAAAGTGTTTTACAATTGATTTGTCTGTAAAAGGGATGAAATTTTTAAAAACATTATTTATTTTTCCTATTTTCTATCAAACATACGATTTACAGCTGTTTATTAAAACTATTTATTTAAATGTTATAACTTTAATAAAGTTAAAAATTATTAGTTATTTAACAAATTTTGTTAATTAAAATTAATAATTTCAATCAATTTTTTAATTTTTCTAATGCAATAAAAAAAACTTATTATTATTTATGTGAATCACAAATATATTTTTAATTAATTTTTTCTATTACTATACTTTTTTGTGTCACTAATTTCAGTCATCAATAGATGTCAGCAAAACAGTGTTGAGTCAAACAGTCAAACATATAGTTAATGATTATTACAAAAGTTATGGTATTTTTTTGGTAATTAATAGTATTATTATTATTGTATTATTACTATAAACTAAACAAAAGGGTTTAGAAAATAGCTGTAAATAGAGTAACAAAATGAATGATTGAATGAATTTTGTTTAGTATTTGTTGTTTTCATTGAAAGAAATTATTTTTTATTTGATTTTTTTTCATATAATTTTTGTTTCTATACTTTTAGTTAAATATTTTTATTATAAATAATTAAAATATTAATAATAAGAGATAACTAAATGTTTTTCAAATGATAACAACCATTGAGTGTGACATCAATTGTAAGACAACTCCTCACATGTCTTGTGATGTCTGAAGTGACGACACGATCGACGGACTAATAAAACAAATGATTAATTGAAACGCCGTTTCAACAGCTGATCCATACAATTCTTCAGTTGATTTTTTTGTTTGTTTTTAATTTAATATAATTTATTTGTTTTGTTTTATTTTGTTATTTATTATAAATGTTTTGTTTTATTGATGTATTGTTTTGTTGACAATTAAATTAATATTAATAATAAAGTTATTTGAAGAAAGTGTTTGACTGATTGATGTCTCGACAAGTGGTTAACATTAACGGAACGGACGAAGAAATGGCAACAACTGAGTCAATGGTGACGAAGATGTCGCTCAACTCGGAGATGATTCGCTACGAAGAGATTGATACAGAAATGCTCGACAAATCGGGTGATGAATCGGAACCTAACACTCGTCAGTGGCCACAGACGGCACACGACTGGGAGGGCTATAAGTTTGGTCAACTTGTCTACGACGACGGCACTCAAACCTACTTCTGGTTTGTTGTCTTTTACTTGACTTTGACTTAGTATTGATTGATTGGTTAATTGGTCTTAAAATTACTGATTGTTTAACAGGAGAGCTCATACCCTAACCGTACTATTTTTCATGTCTTGCGGACTCTTTTATGTTGCCTTTTTTGAACCCGTCTCTGAAGATACCAATTATAATATCAAACGGTAAATAATGACAAACAGTTTTATGGTGTGATTGGTTGTCAACCAATTGGTGTTTGATTTTTATTTGATTATTATTTGTAAATAATTATTTTTTAGTGGTATCATCGCATTTGTCTTAGTCTTCATCCTCATGGGTGTCACACAAATACCCGACGGACCGTTCCGTCGTCCACATCCAGGTGTGAATTAATTGATTTTTTGTTTTGTTTATTTAAGAGTGAATCCATTTACAAATGATAATTAGAGTTTGTTTACTAAATTGTGTTTATTTAAACAACTAATCTATTATTTAAGATATTTATTACATTTATTTTTTTGACATACATTTTTAATTTGTAAACATTTTTATTAGAAAAGTAGTGGTAATCATGAATTAAATAAATATTACTGTATTATGGTTTGTATCAAAACTTTATGAAACAATTTGCTATATCATTAAAAATAATATTAAAAAGTGATTAAAACTAATGAATATATTCTATACTATTTAGCTCTTTGGCGATTCGTGTTCAGCGTATCAATTGTCTATGAGTTGGCACTTATTTTTATATTATTCCAGGTATTATATAAAACTTATTAAAATTAAATTATTATTAATAAATTGTTGATAAAAAAATAATTATAATATAGACTCCAAATGATGCCCGAAAACTTTTGAAACATATCGATCCTAATCTTGGAGTGCCTTTAGAAGAGAGGGATTATGGGGGTAATTGTGCGCTCTATGATCCCAATGTAACCGATGATCCATTTCACAACATTTGGGTGCGTTTGATATACATTTTAGTTTAATGTATAATAATTTTTAATGTTTATTACTTTTATCTACAATTTCTCAATGAAACAAATATTTAATTATCCAATACTTTAATTGACAAACATATGTTTAGTATTGGCTAAATTTTTTTGTTTGAAAAATAATGACAAAAGTAAAAAACATGATTAAAAATTAAATATATATTAAACAAAAGTACACTTTTTAAATAATTAAATAATTTAATAAACAATTGAATATATAGGACAAATGTGATGTCTTTATTCCGGCACATTTCTTTGGCTGGTGGGTTAAGGCTAGTTATAATGAATTTATCGATTATATTATATATTTTTAATAACATATATTTTTGTATTATTATTATTATTATTATTTAGACATTAATAGTCCGCGATTGGTGGCTCTGTACGGTAATGAGTATAATGTTTGAATTACTTGAGTACTCATTAGAGCATCAGTTGCCCAACTTTTCCGAGTGCTGGTGGGATCACGTAAGTGACAATCAGTTTAATTTCAAATAGTAATAATTTGTTAATAATAAGTTATATTTGTTTTTACAAAAAGTGGATTTTAGATGCAATTCTCTGCAATGGATTTGGCATTTTTTGCGGAATGAAGACATTGACTTATTTGCAAATGAAACCATACAATTGGCGGGGACTGTGGGATATTCCGACCTACCGGGGCAAATTGAAACGTATTGTTGCACAGTTTGGTCCACACAGTTGGATACAATTTGATTGGAGGCCGACATCCAGTTTGGATCGTTGGATATCTGTATTGCTCATCACATTTGTTGTATGTATTTGTTTGACTCATTCATTGATTAATCAAAATATCCGTAAAATTCAAATACAAAAAGCTGACTGATTTTTCAGGCTTTGGTCGCAGAGCTTAACACATTTTATCTGAAATTTGTCTTATGGTTAGAACCGCCACATTATCTCAATTCATTGCGCTTATGGCTTCTAGTCTTTGTGGGCGCCGTTTCTTTAAGAGAATCATTTCAATATTTAGACGATCCGTAAGTTAATTACCGTATTTTTTTTAGTTTAAGTTAAACAATAGTATTATTTTTATTATATTGTCTATGGATTCAGTAATTGCAAGAAGTTTGGTCGTCAATCATGGGTTATATTATCGATAATTACGACCGAATTCCTAATTATAGCCAAATTTGATTGGAATGTCATTACAAAACCACTTCCTAAGCATGTCTTCTGGTTTTGGGTCGGCGGCGCTCTTCTGCTACTTTTGTGGACAATTTGGAACTTTTTCTTGAGAAGAGTTACCAAAATTTTGTATAAAAATAGTGATTTACAAGAATCACAGCAATCGTCGAAAAATAATGTAAAACCTAATCAATCAAAAAAAGTAACGATAACTACCGGTAAACTGACCAATGGATCGGTAGCTGACAAACAAAGTAATCAATTAAATCAAAAAAAGAGAAAATAACATAAAAATGTTATATATTTTTCTTATTACACTTAACTTTGAAGACTTACTTTTATATTTTATGATAAGACTACACATTCATATCGTATGTTTCCTTACGGTAATAATTTTTATAAACATTTTTGTATAAAATAAACAGCAATGGATTATATACTGTATATTTTAATAACAGTATTAGGCATACAATTAGTGCTCAATTTTATGATTTACCGGTCGGTACCTTAAATAGACTAAAATATTAGTAAAATAATTAATTTCCTATACATTTGTGACCAACTTTTTCATCAATAGTTTAGGTTTTTATACTTTTGATAAAAACATTTCTTAACTATTTTTCATACCATTAAAATTTGTGATTTTATAAAAACACTGTGAATTTAAAGATTAAAAACACAAAGAAAATGTTAATTATTTAAATCATTTATTCGATGGAAAAAACAAATATAAATCAATAGACAATTATGCGACCAAAGCGGAAGCAGTGGACGACTCATATCTCCAGGTGGCCGGCAATACACGTTTGGTCTTATAATATCTGGCCAATCGATGGATACGGCTTTCCACAAGAATTAGCCGAAACTTTGAATCCTTGTCTTTTCTGTTTCTCTCCAAGTGTTTCCTGATAGCGACGGCTTTCTTGATGAGATGATACAAGTCTTCGGGCAATTGTGGCGCCAATCCTTTCTTCTTGAGGATTCGCAAAATCTTGTTTCCGGTAACCCATCTGACCTGAGCCACTCCGTGCCAATCTCTCAACATAACACCGATCTGTGACGGTGTCATACCCTTCTTGGCCAACTTCATCATCTGTTCCACTACATCATCGGTTGTCAATTTCAACCACTATTTCAATCATTCAATTAAATCAATCAATCAATTAGTAATCAATGCAATTGAAAATTTTGTTAACAATAATAATAATTTTCAAATGACTACTTACTCCGGGAACCGATCGTCTGTACGGCAAAGCCGACTGAGAAATACCTTTTCTGTTGATTAAAACAAACGACAAAATTGTTAAATAAAATCAAATAATAATCAAATTTATGCCACAATTTGTATGACATGTTTATCGATGACATCCAATATATTATGAATACTATTGTTTGCCACAAAAAAAACATGATATTTGGCACTAATTTTATCATATTTACAACCAATCGGTCGACAAAAATGCAATTGAATTCAATTAAATACAATAGTATTGATAATATGTGATAAAATTAGTGTCCAAAATATCGGTAAAAGTGGCCACAATTGGTCACAATAGTTGACATACCCGGGAGCGTGCATACGACCCATGATTGCAATGTGTTTCAAAAGGAAGTGAACGTCTCTAATCAATAGATGGCTCAACCATCAACTCAATCAATACTATTTCCGTTAGAGATGTGCGCCGATACCTATATTTTTTAGTAAATTTTTTTTCTACTGCAATAAACGGGTAATTATTGTATTACTTATATATACAATGTATTAAATATATTGAAATGTATATATAAACTAATATTTAATATTACAATGTTTTCTATATATTAATAATTGCCTTATATTTGATTTAAACATATAAAAAATATACAATTAATACAATTTTGTCATTTAATATCAATTAACTATATACAGTATATATATTACAATTATTGTATAAATTATAATAACTTATTTTAATATTTATACTATAGTTATATTTGACATTATAAATAATACAATAGATATTTTTTGTTTCATTTTCATACATATTTAATTGTTTGAAAAATTATTATCATTTATAATAACTGAAACAAATTATTTAGACAAAATTTTTATTAAATAGTTGGCAAAATAAATACAATAAAATTTTAATAAATAATAAATTTAATTTTATAATAAATTATTTTTATTTAATTATTTTTAAATATTATTGTAAACATTTATAACTATCAACTAATATATATATATATATATATACAGTTTAATGTTACATAATTTAAATATTATATTTGTTTTATAAGTTATTTTTTTTATTTTTAAAAAATTACTTTATATAGTAATTGTGTGATAAATTACAATTAACATCCTGGATATTTTCTAAATTACTCATATCATTGCTTAATGTTATGCATATTCATTTTTGAACATTGCCCTATATATTATTATTATATAAATTTAATAATGATTTTTTTATTTGGTTTGATTATCTAATAGTTTCAAATTAATATTTGTTGCTAAGCTTTCAATTTATTCAATATTTTTTTTCGGTTTACTAATTTTGTAAATTGATAACAAGTTTTTAATAATTAGAAAAAAAATTATTTATAATTTTATCTTATAATCATTGTTATTATCATTAATATTGTGTGTAAGTATATATAATAATATATAAATATTTCAATAATTATATTATAAAACTTACATCAAATAAACCGTTACTAAATAATAATAATAATAATAATAATTTAAATTAGCAAAAGTCAACAATCATCACAATAATTATAAATTATTTTTAGTAATTTCTACATAAAAATAGACTTGATTTAAAAAAAACTATTAAAACTATCTACTATTTAAAAATAATAAAAAATTACACATTTATAATATAAATTTTATATTATTTAGATTATATCATAAAATTATTTCAGTATAATAGTTGATATGTAACAACAATATGTAAATATAAATATTATTTTCATTAGTAATATACAAATATATAATAATAATTATTATTTTGTTTTGAAACTAATTTTAGCCAATTCTTGAAAAAATAATAATTTAAAAAATAACTGAAAATCATATTATATTAGTGAGAGAGAGGGTTGACTTGAATTTAATATTTAGTATAACATTAATATAGTGTACGAGTAGTGAATTGGTTAAGAATCTCAATAACAAAAACAAATAACGTTTTGTTTTCTACACACATATGTTGTGTACAATTGTTTGGTAACAAAACAATGCATACATTAATGTTATGATTTTGAATGACTGGCAAAACTTCCCCTCAAAACATAATTGATGTCAACGTTTGGAATAACAGTACTCTTCTATACAGTGAATATCTATTGGGCTATACTTTACATTGCATTGAATCGACTGTTACTCTCAATGTATATAATATTATATACAAGTAATGTGTAATACATATAGCAGTGAAAGTAATCAGTGATTCACAGCATTAGTATATTTGTGTTAACATTGAACTGAACTCAATGTATAAGTGAATCACTATTTGAATGAAAATATTTTTTTTATTCATTCAAATTCATTAATAAAATATTAATAATAAATGTTTTTTTATTTGCTATTTAAATGATAAATAATTTTTCAAATTTATTCACTATTCATGTGATTCATGTGTTGTATTGAAGACAAAAAAAAATAAGAAGAAAGAAGTGCTCTTCAAATACATCCAAGTCTTTCATTGATTATTATTATTATTAGTCCATCGCTAACATCACCTCATCATTGAATGATCGTTTGATCCAAACATTTAGTAAAAGAAATATAAACCGAAAGCTATGTTCAGATAGTAATTAGTTTTTAAATACTCGGAAGACATCGCCAGTCAGTCAGTCGGTCGCTATCGCAGAGCACAAGTATCCGCACAAAACAGCCGTCGAGTGGACAACAAAAGACTGGCCATATCATCGGCAGCACAGGTATGCAATTACAATGTGCTGTGCATGTGATTAATGAGTGTATAATTAAATATTAGTTGTATTATTGTATATATCTATTGCAATATATTAATTGCTTATCTATTAATTATCAGTAATTATTTTTTTTCAAAATAATGCCTTAACAACCATACCGTCTAAAGTTATACCCAATGGTATTATTATTATTAATACAGTATTACTGTATTATTATTATTAATGATAAGTCCTCTCAATATCACCTCATTATTATTTGCTACCTTTTTTCCCCCAAAAACTATGCACACCTTTATGACAATCTGTATATACATTATATTATAGTTGTATATATCATATGTGTTTTAAAACGGCAAAAGTCTTCCGGTTTTTATTTACTTGAGATTCAGATATTTGCAGTTTTTTTCAGAGAGTGAGTGCATATTGAGAGCCAAAACACTAAGAAGTGGTGTTTATTATTCTTCCGTATTTTGTGTCAATTTAAATAATGTTTTGAACGCATCCAATGCACACAGCATTTGGCATATCATATGTTTTTTTCTGGTAAGTATTACCTGTTAGTGAAAGTAGGATTTGTTTGGCCCGAGGGGTTGAAAGGCGGCACCAATTATGTTGACCCACAATGTGTTATGTAATTCCTGTTACACTCCAGAGACGACCCACTCTTACTTTCGACCAAATTATTAATGTTTTTTTGTAAGTCATATGTGTTACACATTTTAGTCTAGATTCAGATACTGGTCCACACACTCTTGCAAACTATCCATCCATCACCTCTGGCTCCCTGTCCTCTCATAGGACTGTTTATGTTTGTTTGTGTGTGTGCTCTAAATGTTACAAAAATAAAATGTGATTTTCATTATAATTAGCCTAATATTGATGTCACTCTCACTTTCACTCTCTCTCCTAATTCTCAAGAAGACTGACCTCAACTTTGAACCAAAATTTTATTATTAGTTTCTGTGGTTTTTATGTAGTGTCCCATCAAATGTAAAAGTTTTTTATTTGTGTTACTGTTTTTTATGTGTGTAATTAATATATAAATATATGTTTGAAAAAATTTGTGAAATTTTATCAAATAATATCCAATGCAATCATATTTTAAGACTTGTATGACTTTATGTCAATTAAAAAGTTGAAAATATTTTGTATTTAATTATAATTTTAAAGTTATGGTTAACTTTTATTTTTGTCAATTAATATATAATATTTAATACTTATTTATTAGTTAAAATTAATTAACTGATTAACTACTTATGATTATATATCAATTGAGTCGATGAATTCATTGCAATATATTATTAAAGGGAATTCTTGGAGGCAATCATTTAGTGGCAATAAAGCAACGGTTCCAGAGTTGATCTCATCATCAGTGATGGAGAATAATGAAAATGAGTCCCAAATCGCTAACTTCTATAAGGGTCGTAGCGTTTTCATCACCGGTGCCACTGGTTTTATGGGAAAAGTTAAGATCATTTTAATTTTGTGCTAAATTTATTTTATTTTATTAAATGTAATTGAAATTATTTTTTAAAATTTTAATGATTGTTTTGTCAATTATCCAGGTATTAGTGGAAAAGTTATTAAGATCATGCAGTGAAGTGAAAAACATATATGTATTGCTCAGAACTAAAAAAGGTCTGAACGCCCGTTCCCGTCTCGACGAACTACTTAATGCTAAAGTAATGTTTTAATAATAAAAACAGTTATTTTACACATAAACTTAAACACATCAAACCATTTGCTTATGACTTAGTTTTATTTGTTAACCTAAACTCGTTTTTATCATAACTTTTACTTTTAATTTTCTCTCTCAAAGTTCTCTCACATCATGTTTTTGTTCTCCTTTTTTTGTTAACTTTGACTTTAATGTTAAACGAAAAAATTAAACGAAAAATGTGTTTTTTAAGCATACTTTCCTTATCACTAATGATTTTTCGTGTGTATATAATTAAAATCTTAAACTTTTCCAATAGATATTTGAGAAGATTCGTGACGAAAACCCGAAGGCATTAAATAAAATTATTGCCATTCAGGGAGATATCACTCTCAATGGTTTAGGGATATCTGAATCGGATTTAGATTTATTAACAAATGATGTCTCAATAGTATTTCATTCGGCAGCCACTGTCAAGTTTGACGAACCCTTGAAGTAAGTAATCATTAATCAAAAATCATCGACCAGTGCTTCTATGGTATCCATGAATTTATAATTTATTTATTTGTTGTTTTTTTTATAATACTTTAGGACATCCGTTGAGTTCAATGTAATCGGAACCCGAAGATTAGTCGAAATATGCCATAAAATGCCTAAACTTGTGGTATGTTTTTTAAAAATTATCCTTGACTATTGGTCTTGTGATTAACATTATAAATTATAAATTAATTTTTAATGATGAAAAATTATAGTATATATTATTTGAAATATATTTATTAAAAATTATGTTTATAAAAAATGTTAATGAAATTTTATAAATAGACAAAAAAGGAAAAATATTTTAAACTTACGGTAATTTAAAATATTTATTTTTAATAACTAATTGAATGATCTATTATTAAAGGCGTTAATACATGTGTCGACCGCTTACGCCAATTGCAATCGTTCAGAGATCGATGAACTTTTATATTCACCGCCTGTATCGCCACAAAAGATTGTGGACGCCGTCGACTGGATGGACGACGACTCGATCAATGCACTGACACCTAAATTATTAGGAGACAGACCTAACACTTATACGTATACTAAGGCATTGGCCGAATCGTTGTTAGTTGACGAGTGCGGTAGCTTACCGGTTGCTATTGTCAGACCATCTATTGTGACAGCTTCCTGGAGGGAACCACTTAGAGGATGGGTTGATAACATAAACGGACCGACTGGTCTGATTCTGGCCAGTGGTAAAGGTGTATTACGAACAATGTTGTTTAACTCAAAAGCGTGCGCTGACTTAATACCAGTGGACACAGTTATTAATTTAATGATATCAGTTGCCTGGTATACGGCCACTCAACAGCCAAATAGTATTATGGTTTACAATTGCACCTCAGGTCAGCACAATAAGATTACTTGGGGTGACATCGAGAGGATTGCCTTTCCATTGCTTTTACAATATCCGAGTACTCAAATTTTTCGATACCCGGGCGGAAATTTTAAGGAAAGTCGTATAATTAATGACATTTGCTGTTTCTTTGACCACATGGTTCCCGCTTACTTCTTTGACACACTCATGGCATTGACGGGACGCAAAAAAATGTATAAATATTAAAATTTTTCGGATTTTGTTTATTTTGATATTATAATAATTGTATAAAATTTAATATTGCGATAAATAGGATGGTTAGATTATATGAAAAGCTACATCGAGCTACCAGTGCACTGGAATGGTTTACTACTCGTGAATGGAAATTTAGTGCAAACAATGTATTAATGCTTATCGACCAGCTTAAGGGAGCAGACAAGGAGGTAATTATTGATTGAAATATAATTATTATTATCTTTGAAATATAAAATATATTTGTTCAAAAAACAGACATTCCATTTCGACATCCGTGACCTCCATTGGCCCACATATTGGGAAGATTATGTGTTGGGTTCCCGTAAATATATACTTAAAGAGGACAACTCTACACTACCAAAGGCTCGAAGCAATCTTCGACGGTATATATTTGGGATTATTTAAAAAATTGGTTAAATTTAATTTGATTTTTAATTTAATTGGATTGATTAGGATGTATATAATGCACAAATTGATTGGATTCTTAGTTATTTATGGCATTTGGCATCGATTCCTGTTGCGCACACATGTGGCCCGTCGTCTCTGGCTATTCATGACCTCATTAGTGATGAGATTGTTTAATATATTGCCCGCCATTCTTAACATTTAACGCTACAAAAAAAACGATTAATAATTAGTAATTTTTTTTATAATAAGTCACATTTTTTTGTTTTGTTTTGATTAGAAGTCATTTTTTAAAAAACAAATTATAGATTTAATAATACGTTTACCGATACAAAATAATTAATTTTTAAAAGTATAGAGAAAAAAGTTTTATCATTATATATATATATATATAATTTACAATCATTACAACTATTTGTCTGCCATTTGATAACATACCACACAATAATTTGCTCCATTAATATACTTGGGAAACAATTTTAACAAATTCAACACACAATTGACTGAATTGTAAAATGAATTTTTAAATCTATGCATGTTTTACATGATATTAATAATATTATAATTATAATTATTACTATCTATTAATGTTTGTGATTTTAAGTTATCATTTATATACAGTATTATTGTACAATAATATACGGAATCATTTTATATTTTATTCAAAGAAAAACTTAAGATAACTATTTATATTGAAATTAATTGATACGTTGTAATCGTGTAATAAGTAATATATATATATATATATATATAATAGAGATTTAGTGAAATATTGCGAACAAATTGATTGATTAATGTAATCCATTGAACACAAAATACAGACATTCATGATATAACTAAACAAAAAACAAATGCTTACAAAAAAGTAAAGAATTTATAACAATTTATATGTCGAGTTAATGAACTGATAATTTTTTAGTTTTAAAACATTGTTTTTATTTAGATATTATTTATAATTATAGTTTTTACGTATGCCATGTATTATTTAAAGATGAGTTACTCATCCTTTATATGTTTGGTTACAATTTTTATTTGAGATTTTTTTTAGTTGTAATATAAGTTCAGATATTTATTTAAATATTATATCAGAGCTCATATATTATTATTAAAACTATATATTTGATTAATGCCTTCCTTCTTATTTATATCATTAAATTGATTTTTTAAAATAATATTTCATTTTCTTATTTGTTATTTAATTCAAATCTATTGTTATGTGAAATGATTTTAATTGAAATAAAAAATATATAATAAATTTTGCGTTTTAACATTATGGTAATTGTTTTTTTATTTATTTATTTAATTTGTCATTTAATTAAAAATTAAAAAATATTTATGACAAACTAGCAAACAAACAAAATGAAAATTAATTACAATTTACATAACAAAAAATATTAAAACAGATTATTAACATAAAACAAATTATAAACAAAATTAAACTATTTTTAAAAATATATTTACCAAAAAATTTTAAATACAATTATTTGTTAATTAAAATAAATTTTATAATTACCGGTATATGCATTATATTTAAATATACAATAAAATTATCAGTCATAATTTTTTTAAATAAATAAATTCATAAAAAATAGACATATAGAAAATAGTGTTTAAAATATAAAATTAAAAAATTAGATATAGATTTATAAATTATATTTAATATTCAAGAAAAATGTTTATATTGATAATAAATTAAAATAATCCTTATAAACGTAAAATCTATTTAATAAACAAAATATATTTATTAATATATTAGACATTTTTTTATTTTATCAAAAATTGTCAAACTTTCCATTGACAAAAATCAAGTGCATAATTATTTTTTTTAAACTAAATAATAATGTACAGTAATGTAAATTATATTTAACTGTTATATATATTAATTGTACTGTCAATAGTAAGATATTGATGATCAATGTCAATAAGTTTATCATAAATGAGTAGAAAATAAAACACATTTAGATAAATCATTTTTCCTGTTTAGAGTTAAACTGATTAATTTATATTCAAAAATGTAAACATTTTTAAAAAACAATTTATCAAAGAAATGTTTTGTTTGTCAATTCAATTGATTGGCCGACAAACTCAAGGATCATCTCTAACTGTTGTAAATGTATTCATAATTTTTATTTTTTCTTTATTTTGACGTCAATTGACAACTAAATCAACAAAAAATTAATGACATTAATGATAATGATAAAAAAATATTGAATTAATTTAATTTACTATAAGTTTAAAAAAAATAATTTTATTCACAAATTCTGTTAAATTTTATTTTTTTATCAACGATTCTGTGAATTGTATATCAAATGAGGCGCCAAAAGCATTGATTGGTTGGGTTTTAACACACATTTGAATTGGTTGTCACAAAACACGTGTCTATCTATTGACTGTTTTTTTTGTAAACATTGAATTTGAATCAATTGTTTGGCAAATAAAATATTTTTTAAAAAATATTTTTTGGTTAATCATTGTTTATAAAAATATAATTAAATCAATTATGTTTCGCACTGTTTATTGTCGTTTAATTGGTTCATCGCTTTTGGTTAGTTATTGTTGATAAAAATTGTTTTAAATGATTACAAAATTAAATTTTAAAATAAATAAAATTTTAATTAATAGCGAAATGTTAATATCAGTCAACATGTGATGACAAACAATATGTCAAACAATAGTCGACCACTCATTGAAAAAGGTATATAAAGTCATTAACTTTTTATTGTTTTGTTTTGTTTATTAAATTTGGATATCATTTTATTTGTCAACAATTTAGGTCTAAATCAAGTGATACTAATGGGTCGCTGCGGTAACGATGCAGTCAAGAGAGGCACTGATACTCATCCAGTTATTGTCTTCTCTTTGGCCACTCATACACACTATAAGGCACAGGGAAGCGGTTGGTGATTATCATATGATAATAATATATCCATATATTTACAATTCATTGTCATTACAGATGTTTTTAAACAGAAGACTGATTGGCACAGAATATCAGTGTTTAGACACAGACTACAGGAAAAGTCACTCAATTATGTTAAGAAAGGGTTGGTTTAGTTTTTATTGTTTTACTAATACAGTATTAGCAATGATATCAAAATTATTAAATAATTTATTTAATATATGAAATTTAAAACACGACAGAAATCGTCTCTTAGTTCAGGGAAGACTGTCTTATGGAGAGATTACTGACACTAATGGTAATACTCATCAAACAACAAACATTGTCGCCGGTAATTGTTTTTGTCATTTAAGTTTAATTATTATAGTTTTAATTATATAATCAATATTGTGGTTCATATCAGTTATATCTTTATTTTGTTTTTTTGAAATTTATTTTTGATTTTATATTTTAGATGACATAATATTCTTGTCGACATCCAACCGAATTACTGAAGAAGTCGATGAAGATATTGACGAATCTATAGAGAACTAGTTATTATAATTATGATATCAAAGTCTTAATTCAAGTCAAAACGTTTAGTTAGATATTTTGTTTTTTCTTCTTTTTTTCATATATTTATTACTAAATTTAAGTCCAAATAATCATTACATTATAAGTGCATTTTCTAATCGTATCATTTTTGATATAAATCATGTTTTAATTGTTCAACAATTATTGTCACAAAAAATGAAATATTAAGACATTGAAAATGTTCTCGTATTTCACGCTATTTTTTATTATCTTAATTACTTTATAGACCCAAACAATTATAAAAACTAATTTATGATAAAAAAACTGCTATAAATACTAAATTTATTGCAGTAATTTCAAGTTATATAACTGATATAAAATATATATTTCTATTACCATAAATGCCAATATTAAGTTTCACTGAATATTATGTAAAAAAATATACATAAATATAATGAAAAAAAAAGTTTTGCCATAACATCAATGTTTGTTTGTTTTAATAGTTTACATAAACCGTAAATGAAATTTTTGTATGTGTTTTATAGGCGACGAAAAAAAAAATCTTTGTGTTTATAATATACACAAACATAATATATCAGTAAAATTGATATGAAAACTGTTGGGTGTTTTATATACAGTATATATATAACAGAGACCAGTGTTTGGCTACAGATTCAGATGAAAGATATGTTTACTGATGTCATGTCATGAGAAAGAGGGAGAAATGATTAGAGAAGTAGTGATAATACATTAGTTTGATATTTATTAGCTGTTTGTCTGACTGTCCATCCAATAGCTCCCTCGTGTGTCAGTCCATAGCAAGTGATGTAAAAGCAATTGTTTAGATTGGTATCCATAGTAACTATACTGACAGTCAGTGTGTGTATTGACTCGGAGTCAGTCGTCATTCGTTGTATTGCAAGGAAGCGATGCCTTCAATACAATACTGATAATACAAATAATAATAATAATAATAATATTTATTTATAATAATAATAATAATCTGTTCATTGAATGAGTGAATGATAGCATCGAAAGTGTTTTGCAATTATTTTGTATGGCTTTTGACTATTGAATTGCAAACGACAACAACAAACAAACAAAAACTTGTCGTATGTTTGGCCACTGAGCCCATACATTCCCGAAACACAACCACCCGAGCACTGTTGGGACAGCCGTTTGGCCCATCAATTGGTCGACAAACTGGAGAAACTACCGGAGTATCTGAGAGACACTTACGACTGGTTTATCGGGTAATGGTTTTTGTTGTTTTGTTTTCAATTTTCTCTTAAGTTATCATTAGTTTTATATATATATTGTAATCACAATCACAACAAAGCATTTCATTGTCGTCGCCAATGTTTTTTGTCTATCATTTTATATCATATGATATATCGATGATTGCAATCATTTTAATCAATTATTTTTATTTTATTTGTTTGTTTAGTCAATAATTTAATTACACAATTGTTTAGCAAAACAAATAAAAATCAATTGATTTTTCTGTGTTTTTTTTTCTCTCTCTCTCTCTCTCTCTCTCTCTCTCTCTCTCTCAAGAAAACTAACTTAACGTCTAATTGATTGCCAATTGACTGTTCAAATGAGTGCCGCGTTTTACATAATATTTATTTTTAAATTTTACATATTATTTATTTTTATAAACATTTATTTTTGGTTGTATTTGTATTACAATATAAAATTAGAGCAACGCTTTAATAATCAAATAGCAATACATTATATCATTGAATTATTTATTGAATATTTATATCATATATTTATTAATATACTGTATTATTAAAAATATTGTCGTCATTTTATAAATTATTTTTTTCATTTATTAATAATAATAGTAATATAGCATTAATTGATCGTTAAAGTTGACTGAAAACAATATTTTTAATATTTGCTATTTTAAAAAACAATATAATAGTTTTACTAAAGAATTATAGCAAACATTGATCAAACTTATAATAATAATATTGTAATAATAATCAATAATAATTTGGATGACATAACTAATGTCTATTTATGTTTCATAATATCATATCAGAAATAGTAATATCGTTTTGCGTGTATTGAAAACAATTGGGTTTTTGTTGCAGTAGTTGTTGAGGTTTTGAAACATACATACAATGCCATTGTATTGGCAAATATGGTGTGACCAGTTGTGTGACCCGTAGTGTATAGTCTTAATACTTTATATCATATATATATAAATAAAAATGATTCAAAAACATATTAATTTGATATGAAATAAAATTGATGTGAACCAGTCTATACCAGTTTGTTTGCTTGTTATTTGACGATAAGACTTGTAAAGGGAAATATCAATTAAAAATTAATGACAATCACTGTTTTATGCCCTGATAGTGATGATCACATAGTATTTAAGATTGCTATTTAATGGGTCTAATAATAATAAAGTTTTGTTGTGATGGTCAGGCCATACACGGTGTGTATGTGTTGATAGACACAAGTTTTATTTAATCTCCTAAACAATAGCTTCAATGGGTATAGTAAAGGGCAAAGTACGGGTATTGAATAGTCGATAACTAAAAACAATTTGCTAACTGTGTTATCCATAAGTTTGATATTATTTATATAATATTAGCCGAGACACTAATTCAGATCATATAATTGATTGACAAAATATATGTCAAATAATGTCAGTAATCTATTGAAAACAGTGGCGATTTAAAAAAATATATATAAGTTTCTAAATAATGAAGATAATGGACTTTAATATATTTTGTTTATTTATTGTTTATTTGTCTTTATTTATGTTTTTAATATTTTTATGAATTTTATAACATAAATATATATATATATATATATATATGCCTTATAATATATTAAAAATTATATAAAATTCAAATGCATTTAACTTGAAGATATTTAAAAAAAACATGATAAACATTTTTATAGGCAATTTACAAAACAAAATTGTTTATAAACTAAGTAACTGATGGCCCACAAGGGCTTTAGTTGTCAATCAATTTATAATTATCTTAAAATTATATATTTCTGAAGAATATATTTTCAACAAAAGATATTAAAATAGCAAATATTTAGTCATTGATTATCTCTTTTGTTTTATTTTACTTTACTTTTTTGTTGATAAACTTTTCAATCAAAATCTATACCGATTTTTGCATTTGATTTGTTTAGCATTGAATTTATTTTTTGATAATATTTCATCCATTTTTTAAACAAAAAATCAACTGTTTTTTATGTTTGAATAAATTTTATACAAAAAAGATTTGAATATATAGTGTATATTTATTATATAAATTTATGGTATTATGAATTTTTTGTATACCTTCTGGCACTAAATCGTTATATACGATACCAGATATACTACTGTATGTATATAATAATAATACTAATAATAACGAAAATGTTTTAATGGCATCTGAAATGCAATTTCATTTAAACGCCATTCACATATTGTTAATGTTATTTGAATTATACATAAATATCTATTCATATATATATATATTTTATTTTACGGTTAAAATATAATGTTTATTTTACACTTGCTTTTTAATATTTACATAGCATTCAACTAATACATGAAATTTATGAATCAATTGCTTGACATAATTACAAATTTAATAAGAATTTCCCCAAAGAATTCATAAAAAATTGTTGCAATAGATTACAGAATATTCTTGTTGTTAGGCATTATGTTTTTCAATTGCTTTTCAATTTAATCACACGATTATTGTATTGAAAATTAAGTCATTTTTTTCTCTAAGAAATAAACATAAAATAGTTGTCTGAGAAAAAAACTTTGATAATAATGATATATTAATTAAACAGTTGTCATACGGTTTCCGTGAAAAAATGTATTTTTATTGAAAAAATGAAAAATTACTAAAATAGCAAACAAAAGCACGGAATTAATTTTTTTAAATCATTATTTTTGTGTATTTTTAGGTTTATTTTATTTTATTTTACTTTTTTTCACTTGTTATCTCTTTTGATTGATCACAATATTGTTAGGATTTAGCTGTTTAGGTATATAATAATATATACACAACAGTTAGGAAATGATATACACTCGTCGTTTCAAACATAATCTCCAAAAACCTTTATCTAAAGCTAATATAAATGCTTTTTGTGTTATATATTATATATATTTATTTATTTTTCAAGTGAAGAATTTTTAGACCAAAAATGTTGTTTTTATTTATACATTATATAAATGTTTATATACTGTATAATAAATATATATTCAATTTTATTTGAAAACAATGGACACAATGTTTGTTTGTTTATTTATATTTTATTATTTGTGAAAGTAAGTGCTTTTAAAAATTTATTTATTTTTAGCAAATTAGTGGTAGTGTTGAAAATTATGTTTCTTTTCTATAATATCTTCATATACTGTATATTGATATATATATACTGTAGTTATATCATATAACTTATATGAGTGGTTAGTCAATGTTACCATTAAAAGCATGAAAGGCTTGTATTAAAAAGCAATTTATTGATTTTATTATTGATTGTTGTTTTCAATAATCAAATTTATGGACATTTTTCTAATTCCTTTCCGTTTAAATACACACATCAAAAGCTCATTCAAATTCAATATAAATCACATTTATATCACACAACACACACAACATAAAACTACTACCCCTTTCCTATTGCTAAACAAATAAGGTTTATATCAAATAAATGTGTTTTTGTTATGTTTTTTATATAATACACTTTAATACATAACAATTCTTATGAGAATAAAAGTCGAGAATATTAGTATAGCGCTGACAGAGAGTCTGAGTATTGTTTTGCAATTTTCACATATTTTTATTGGATATATAAAGCGTAAACCATTTCTCATCACTAAAGAAGTTGTAGTTATAATAATAATAATAAAGAGAAAGATATAAATCATTCAGTCGTCAGTTGTTGTATTCATTGTCATTAATCACACGTGTTTTTTATACAACTAATTCATATGAGTCTCTATTGGATTTATAGTATATATATATATATATATATATATATATATATATATATATATATATAATATTAGACGAAAAAAATGTTAGCAATAACTACTATTGTATACTATCCGTGGCATATAGTTAAGTGCTTTAATGTTGACTTGTCATTGGAGAGACTTTTTTAGGATTGACTGCCAATTCAGGTGATAATTTCAACTGTGTTTACCATTTCATCAAACTTAAAATAAACATTATATTTAATAGAAACTAAAATATAAAACTAAAGCTAATGTATATTTTAATACTTAATTTCAAATAGGGTTATCCAATGTCTGGAATAAAGAAAGATTTTTAGGATTTTTTAATATATTTTTTGGATATTATATAACATGATTTAATAATGTCAACTTTGAATTCATTATGTTTTGCATTTTTTCCTAAGTAATACATTATAGTGTAATTTAATACTCTATATCTTAATTTTATTTGTTGAAAAAATAAAGAGTTATTATTATTATTATTAAATTATCTTAAAACTCATCTGTTGTCTAATAAAAATATTCACATGAATTTGTTTACTATAAATATATATTTTGTGTCTATAAATGTATTTCTAATTTGATTTTCTCGAAATAATACATAGAATTGTATTCACACAAAAAAAACTTTGTTAAAGTAAAACAAAGTGATACCTAAAAAATTAGATGTGTGGGAGTAATGGATTCATTAGCATTGAACTTATTTTTATTAAATATCTTTTGTGTTGTCAACCAACCAATTTCTCTCATCACTAATGAATGTATTTGTGTGAATATATTTTTACATTTGCTTACACACACACACACACACACACATCATCCTAGTGTGCCAGTAGTTTTGATATATAATATAAATGTTATATAATGACAACCTATAGTCCTCTATTACATATTATGATTTAGTGCAATCATAATATTGGCACATATTTTTGCTTGTAATGATCATTATTTTTGTTTCACTCATACAATTGGATCAAATCCAATATTAAGCCACTGAACTAATCATAAATACCAATAGATATATTCAGTATATTCAGTATATATTCACAAATGATTTAAATAAGACGACCATTGGATGATGCAATCATTTTAATTCTTAACTATATGTTTACATAATTATTGATCGATATCGTGATATATAATACTTGTTTCAAAGATAATATTATTAATTTAATAAAATAATAATAAGTTGTTTGTATTTTATATAATAAAAATTGTATCACAAATTCACATCATTGACAGCTTTGTGGCATTAAGTAT